CAAATAGCTACGAGCTTGACCTTCTTGTGATCTGGTATCTCGTGGTATTCAAAAAAAAAAAAAATCAGTGGTATTTAGCCAATTGATAAAATCTTCTGCCTTAGCCATTCCGTTTTGAAAATATGTGGCTGAGATCTGAGGATTTCCAAGGGAAAGTCCAGTCTTGGTGGAGGGAGGTGACATTTACAGGTTCCACTAGCTTTGTTTTAGCTAGGAAGTTTCAGATTCTTAAAACTGAGCTTAAGAGGTGGAACAAAGAGGTGTTTGGGAATCTTGAATGGAAGAAGAATAGAGTTCTAGCTGATATCGCTGAGCTCGATCGTCTTGATGAGTTGGGACAAGATGTGGAGTCTCTGCGCTCTAGGAGAGCCTATTGTTAGCCGATTTTTATTGAGATCGCTGCTATGGAGGAGATTTCGTGGCGTCAGAAATCTCAGGCATTGTGGCTAAGAGATGGGGAACCGCAATACAAAATTTTTTCACAGGCTTGCTAACGCTCACAGAAGGTGTAATCACATCGGGCTTATCCGTGTGAATGGTTCAAAGCTATGGAGCGAGGATGAGGTGCGCGGGGGAATTGCTTCTTTTTATCAACAGCTTTACACTGAGACGTTGGGATGGAGACCTAAGCTTGATGGTCTTCAATTTAATACCATTTTTACACTGGATAGTGACAGGCTTGAGGTTCCATTCACTGAAAAGGAAGTGCTTAAGGCGTTATCGAGTTGCAATGGTGATAAAGCTCCGGGACCAGATGGGTTTACTATGCGATTTCTTAAGGAGAGCTGGGAGGTGGTGCGCAGTGAGGTGATGGGCACTTTTCAGGAATTTCATTCTCATGGCATATTTGAGAAGTCATTAAATGCATCTTTTATTGCCCTTATTCCTAAGAAGAGCGGCGCCTCTGATATTAAAGACTTTTGGCCAATTAGCTTAGTGGGATGCATGTACAAGCTTATTGCCAAGGTTTTTGTTCTTAGGATGAGTAATGTTTTGGATGGAATTATTTTAGAGTCATAGAATGCTTTTGTTGGTAGACGACAGATCTTGGATTATGTTCATATTGCAGGAGAATGTGTAGACTCCAGGTTAAAGAGTGGGGTCCCTGGTCCACTCATATCAGACACAAAGTTCGTGATGGCAGGTGTGTACGCTTTTGGGAGGACCTTTGGTGTGGTGATCGGCCTTTATCTTGTTTTTTGCCTAGATTATATAGTATTGCAGTTGATAGACATGCCTACATAGTAGATTGTTATCGGCTTGATAGTAGTGGGATTACGTGGGACGTGAAATTTCGACGCTCTTTTTAGGATTGGGAGGTGGACGAGGTATTTGCTTTTCTGGATCTGTTGTATCGACAGGAGACAGTTGGCAGAGGTTGTGTTGATATGACATGGATTCCCTCTCCCCATGGTCGCTTCGAAGTTCGATCCTTATTCTTATGTCTTTTTTATTTTGATATCGTTGATTTTCCGTAGAAGACTATCTGGCGCTCTATGGCTCCAACTAGGGTGGCATTTTTTGTTTAGACCGCTGTATGGGGTAAGATCCTGACGATTGATAATCTAAGGAAAAGGGGTAACTGTCTTGTTAGCTGGTGTTGCCTTTGCAAACAAGATGGTGAGTCAGTTGCTCATATTCTCATGCATTATCCTGTGGCGAGGGATTGTTGGAATCTTATTTTTTGTCTGTTTGGTATGCGTTGGGTTATGCCTCGTTATCCTAAGGATTCAATTCGTATTTGGAGAGGATGTCCCCTGCGTAGTGCTGTTCGCGATTATTGGAGAGCTGTACCACATTGTGTCTGGTGGTGCATTTGGAAGGAGAGGAATAGTAGAATATTCGAAGGGAAAGAATCGTCCATAGCGATTCTGAAACTCTATATCATACGATCACTTTTCAGTTATGTGAAAGGAAGTCCTATTCCTCTTCCGAAAATTTAATTATTTTTTTGGCTTCTTTGGGGCCTTAAACCCCGGTTCCACTTATGTATAAGGGATGCGTTCCCCTTTTGAACGCCTTTTTAATTCAATTATTACTTATAAAAAAAAAAGAGTGGGTCCCTGGCGTCTTATGCAAGCTCAACATTGAGAAAGTTTATGATCACGTTAATCGGAAGTTTCTTCTTTACTTGCTTCGGAGGATGGGGTTCAGAGATAGATGGATAAAATGGATCGAAACTTGTATTTTGTCCGTTATGTTCTCTGTGCTAGTAAACGGATCTCCTGCTGGTTTTTTTGCGAGCTCTTGAGGTTTGAGACAAGGTGACCCTTTATCGTCTTTTTTATTCCTTATAGTCATGGAGGGATTAAGCAGGTTAATGAGGAGAGCAGAGGACTTGGGTTATATCAGGGGTTCAGAGTCGGCAGAAGTGTTGTTCATCAGATGGAGATCTCTCATTTGTTGTTTGCGGATCATACTTGGTTTTTTGTGATGCCGATGTCTCCCAACTCAAATATTTGAGGTGCATTCTTGTTTGTTTCCAAGCGGTTTATGGGCTTAAGATCAATGTTAGAAAGAATGTGTTTGTCCCAGTGTGGGATGTTCCAAATATTTCCTCCTTAGCTACAGTTCTTGGGTGTGGGGTGGGTGCTTTTCCTCTTCCTTATTTGGGATTGCCTTTGGGGGTTTCCTCTAGGAGGGTGGGGAGTTGGGACCCGGTGATTAATAGGTATGAGAAGAGGTTAGCTATGAGTATCATCTTGTTAACTGGGAGCAAGTTTGCAAGCCTTTGAAGTTAGGCGGGTTAGGCATTCGAAAGTTGGTTCCTTTTAATAGAGCCTTATTGGGAAAGTGGTTATAGAGATTCGGCAGGGAACGACATCGCCAGTGGAGAAGGTTTGTCTCGTGTCGTTTTGGGAAGGAGAATGGTGGCTAGTCCTCCCGCCCAGTCTCTGTTACGGGAGGCGTCGACATGTGGAAATTCATTTGGAAAGGTTAGGATGTTTTTTCCTCACACATTAGATTCAAGGTTCGCGATGGGAGGCGTGTAGGATTTTGGAAAGATTTATGGTGTGGAGATCAGTTGTTGTCTCATTCTTTCCCTAGACTTTACAATATTGCTGAAAATAAGCACGTTTGCGCAGTTGACTGTTATCGGCTTGATAGCAATGGGGTTACATGGGATGTGTTTTAGGCGTTCTTTTCAGGATTGGGAGTTGGAAGAAGCATGCGTTTTTTTGGATCTGCTGTATCAGCAGAAGGATGTTGGCAAAGGTAGTGACGACATTTTGTGGATCCCTTCCACCCATGGCAGATATGGTGTTCGGTCCATGTTCTTGTGTCTTTCCAATTTCGTTGGTCACGATTTCCCATGGAAGTCTATATGGCGCTCTAAGGCCCCACTTAGAGTCGCATTCTTTGTTTGGACTGCCACCAGGGGTAAGATTTTGACGTTGGATAATTTGAGAAAGAGAGGTAACACTATTGTTAATTGGCGTTGTCTATGTAAAACAAACGGTGAGTCTGTGGATCACATTCTTTTGCACTGTCCTGTGGCATATGATTGTTGGAATCTCATTTTCAGCATTTTTGACGTTCATTGGGTAATGCCTCAATCCTCCATGGAACTTATTAACGCGTGGAGAATATGCCCAATGAAAGGTCATGCTCGTGACTATTAGAGGATTGTTCCACACTGTGTTTGGTGGTGTATTTGGAGAGAGAGAAATAGCAGAAATTTCGAAGGAAAGAAATCGTCGTTGGCAAACTTAAAAATCCATATTCTTCGTTCTTTTTTCTATTATATAAGAGGAAGCGCTTGTTCCTCGTCTGATGACTTAGTTGATCTTTTGCACTCTATTGGTCCTTAGGTTCAGCTTTCGTTTTGTGTATTAGGGACGTGTTCTCCTTTTGAACGCTTTTCTAATAAACTTTTACTTATAAAATAAAAAATAAAAAGACTCCCGTGAAATTCAGGAATCTCAATTTTGATATTCGCCTCCCAACGATGATCGATACGATCACCGAGTGATCTATGGCGACGCAAAATATAAAACGGATGTTTCGCAAAAGTTCTGATGTTGGACAGGTCATCCTCCATCGGAAAGTGATCATCAGCCAGCGGGTTGATAACATGTTGAGCCAATTGCTGGTTCAACATCTCAACTTGTCTCTCCAGATTCTCGACTTCGTTTTTGACTTGCTGAGTAAGAGCTTGGTTGGACCTTGCATCCTACGACGTTCTCTTCTCGATTGTTGTTGTGGAAGCATGATTACGCAGTCGGAAAGCCGAACTTATGCTCTGATACCAAACTGATGCCGCCTTACCATGAGAGGACAAACAATTGTTGTCTAAAGCAAGAGAAAAACAAACGAAGGCGGCAAGGAGTGCTAGAACAAGAAGAAAAAAGACAAGCAAACAATCGTTGCTGCAATTCTATTAAGAATATTATTCATCACCGCTCTTTCCAATACCCTAGCCACCCAGTCTCCTAGCAATCCTACTATAATTGGCTTTATTACAATAAAGGAAAATTAATAAAAATCTGAAATTACTTAAAATCAGCAAGTTTCCAAAAATCAGAACATGGAAAGTTTCCATAAAGCATAATGTGGAAAGTTTCCAAAAATCACAAAGTTGATAAAATCATTGACTGCATCAATGCTCCTTTCATCATAGTGATTGTAGATGTGTCTACCATCATAGTGATTGCACAGCGATCTCCTTAATGGAAGTTTATGAAGATAGATGGAATGTGCTGCTAATCATTCTCTAAATCACCATATATAGCTCTGTTTTTTAAACCATCGATGAACACACACAAGCAAACACTAAACAAGATAAAGCAGTTTTCTAAAGAAATCCTTAGAAGAACAGGACTTCAGAGTGTAAAAGAGAAGAGTAACTTGAACAAACTTGAAAATTCATCTCCGTAGAATTGAGAAACCAGATTCAGTCTTATTATAGTTAGGAATCAATTTTGAAATGTTCAATTCCAATTGACTACTAGAAAGGGTTAGTAGCAATCTAAGAAGCACGGACATGGATACGGGACACGGATACGACACGACACGGACATAGCGACACGGCAAATCCAAAAAAATTAGAACACGGACACAGCGAATAGTATATATATATATATATATATATATATATATATATATATATCAGCATTAATAATTTTAAAAAAAAAAACACTGATATGTTTAGGTTGAACAAACTTGAAAATTCATCTCCGTAGAATTAAGAAACCAGATTCAGTCTTATTAAAGTTAGAAATCAATTTTGAAATGTTCAATTCCAATTGACTACTAGAAAGGGTTAGTAGCAATCTAAGAAGCACGGACACGGATACGGGACACGGATACGACACGACACGGACACAGCGACACGGCAAATCCAAAAAAATTAGGACACGGACACGGCGAATAGTATATATATATATATATATATCAGCATTAATAATTTAAAAAAAAAAACAGTGATATGTTTAGGTTGGAATATATATATATATCACTGATATGTTAGTATATATATATATCAACATCTTTAGGACACGGACACGGCGAATTGTGGCATCTTTAGGTTAGTATATATATATATCACCATCTTTAGGGTAGTACAAAACAAAAAATAGAACATATCAGCATTAAAAATTTAAAAAAAAAAAAAAAAAGAAATCCAGAAAAGTGTGTCCGAGCCATGTCTGAGCCGTGTCCGAGCTGTCCGAGCCGTGTCCGAACTGTCTGAGCCGTGTCTGTGCCGTGTCCAAGCCGTGTCCGAGCCGTGTCCAAGCCGTGTCCGAGCCGTGTCCGAAAATAAAAAAAATAAAAAAATTCCAGACACGTTTTTTGACGTGTCCGACACGTGTTGGGGCGTGTCCGACGCGTGTCCGTGTCCGACACGTGTCGGACACGGATTCTTCGCCCATTTTGGAGTGTCCGTGCTTCTTAGGTAGCAATAGAGGTGAACAATAAATAAATTTCCATAGTGAACAGTATTATCATTGATTGAGGAAATAGAAAAACAAACTACCTCTTTTGGTCTTTTTATAGAAATGCAGCCTGCTAAATCTCCAATAAGATTGATCCACTTCTCATTTTCATTTTGCTCCCCACCTCTAGCCAAAATCTGAGGATATAATCCCTCTTATCCAAAAGATATTATAGAAAGTATCAATTGTGGAAAAGGGTTAGTAGAACTGTTATATATAGATTATTGTACCTTTCCCATTTCAAGATCTCCAACACATTCGCAGAATGCCTGATATGCAATAAGAAGAGCCCTGCAAAATAAGAGAAATGGACAAAGTTCAAAAAAGTTTTCCCAAAGAGTCGATTTATAACAGAATCTCTTTCAAATAAAAATATTACAACACCCTTATCAGTTACCGTAATGGTTCTTGTTGACCAGAACTAGCCAAACCATGACAACTTCCCAGTTGAAGTATCAGTGCTGCAAGAACAGAAGAATAATTTTGTTCCACAGCCCTCTTTCCTATTTTACCCCCACCTCTGCAAGAATATTGCAATATTTAGCGGACTGTATGATGGAAGTGATATTTGGGTAATGCAGTTGAAGATAGACCTGAAAAAGGCAGTGAGAGCAAACATAGATGCCTGCAGAATGTTATTGTCAATGTCAACGGAACGACTAGAATCATCTCCTTTCTCCAAATCACCTTTAAGGATGGGCATCTGATTAAGGACAGATATCACATGCTCAAGGAACAAGGATGAAAGTACTGTATGCTGAGAAAATGCCTGTAACAAAAGAAGAAATTAAGATCATAAAAGGAAATCACCCATTGTGTTCCTCATTAATTGAGACTGATAGGAGAGGTGGACTAGATACAGATCTACTTTTTTGCATTAATCACACAAACTGGCTACTCCCATGTGTAACAAAAGAAGACATTAAGCAAAAAAAAATAACTGAAATACAAACAATAAATAAATAAAAGGACGTAAAGCATTAGATTGTATGATTTAATTTGTGTTTTGGTCCAAAGATTCATACTTTCATGAATTAATAAATTTATAAAAAGTCCCTCACTCAGTCTCTCAAAACATAAGTTCCATGTATCTAGTTTTACAACTACGTAACCTTAAAAAATCAGCATAATTAGATTCTACTTCCGCTAGGGAACAAAGCTTAAATTGAAACACGAAACCTTGTACCTACTGCATCCACACCTTCAATGTATTTTCATTATTAAGAACGTATACAACTAATTTAACCTCCACACTATCCATTACTCTGCAAAATCTCTCCAGATTTTGAAAAATGTATGATTCCCTTCAGGATGCTGCTACTCTAGAAAAAACTACAATCACAAGGATACCCAAAGTTTTGAAGTGAAGATGCAAATAAAAGGATGATGATCATCACATTTTATTTCCATAGTCCCGTCCTATTTTCATAGTGTATGTCTCCTACTTTGGATTTTCCATAATACATGTCCATTCTGAACTAAGTGATTCTAGGGTTAAAAATCCGAGACCTAGGTTTATAACACTTTCTTCTGATAGTGGTGGTCCCATGGTTTCTCTCATTTGGGTTCCACATAAATATTGGTATTCATTTGTGGATGTCTTTATGCATTTTTGCTTCTATTCTGCACTGCCTATCTTCACGTGCTTATTGAATTGGCCGAAATTCAAGTGTCAACTAAAGTTAGTTTAATTTTTGAATTACTATTATAGTAGTTAATATGTGTTCAACAACTATTCACCCAAGCTCTAGGTCTAGTTCAGGCCTTAACGTACTTTAACTATCAAAGCCTAGGTAATGGAGAACGAGACATGACTCGATGGCTTGAAGAGCACTTGACGCATATCCAAGCCTACTATTAGGGATTTCATGTTACTAGGGTTCATTTTTGTTTATTTTTATTACTTTGGCATTGTATTAGTTTTAGGTTTATTTTGGTATTTCATAGTTTAGGGTTTGCTTAAAATTGTGCCTATGTAAAGGCCCATATGTAATCAAAAATTTCAGCTTTAATTACTTAAATATTATCGTGGTTTGAGAAATCCATGTATCTTCTTCCACACTCTATTCTTGCTCATCTAAACCCTTCAGTCTATCCAGCCTATCTTTTTCAATCTGTCTTCTCACCCCCTGCTTTCTTTCTAGTCCTGCATCAATTTGGTATCACAGCATTCTGGTCCTACATCAGATTGTAGTTTTATATAGACTCTCAGTGAAATAATGAGTTCAGTGCTTTCCAATGATTCTTTTACTTATCGAAAGAATAAAATACATTTTATCAAAACAAACAACAAAAGTAATGGAATCCAGTTGCTCAAGCTTTTCCCGAGTAAAATAATGCAGCCTAGTTCCAGAAGAGGGTTGAACAGGACCGATTCCTTCTTTCTCTCAAGGTATACATACTTCGTGTGCGTGTTTGTGGGGTGAACCAGCTACAAAGGAGACCTGTTAGACACCTTGGTCACTCTTCAACAGCTAGATATTGTCACAGGTAAAGAGTTAGTAGGCTTCATGCTTACCATATTTTAGGTATTTGTTTTTAATACCTCATCCTTCTATAGGTTTGATGATTCTCTAATCATAGAAGGTTGAGACTCTTAGGCTTCTGCATGCTTCCATCAGGTAATTTTTTTACTACCTCAGCATCTCCGTCCACAAATTTGATGATTCTCTCAAAACATAAGGCTACGAATTAATCAACTTAGGGCTTAAATGGAGCCATCTCAGACCATGGATTCCACTTTCCAACTGCATGCTAGCTGCAGACGGATTATGATCATCAACAGATGAAACTTCCACAAGGGTTCTTCAAACTAATAGAACGGAAGCAGCAGCAGAAGAAAAATAGTACTTTAAAAAAGCAAGGGTGCAACAAATGAAAAAATAAATAAAATAAGAAGGTAAAGAAGGTAAGAGATGTAAGGTGTAGAGCAGTGTCTTAAGAGGAGGAATGCAGAAGTAGAAAGACTGAAAGAGAGAAAGAAACTACATGTGTGTGTCTAGAGAGAGAGAGAGAGAGAGAGAGAGAGAGAAAGCTAAATAAATTTCACCTCTGTGTCATCACCCTCACAATCTTATTTTAAGCCTTTTACTAGGCTGATTTTTCAAATCTAAACAGACCAAAAGGCACCCAAAACAGTACACATAAAATAGAAATAAAACACCCGAGTTTAAATTTCTGAATTTGGAGCCCATTAGAATTTTCATATGAAATCTATTTTCAAAAAAACATAATTTTAAATACAATAAAATTTTACTAAATGAAAATACAAAGATATGAACTCCTTGTCCAAATAGATCTTTTAACGTAAATACTCTGTTGTTTCATCTAGCCCAGTTTGTATCATATAACCATCCAACATTCCAACATTTTTGAAATTTTAAGAGGTTTTAATTTACATTGTATAAATTATAAGAAAAAGATGTTTATATATGATCGTAACACTAGAATCCTTCTTACAGAAAGAAAGCGTAAAATGATGTAAACAGATGCAGCAGAAGCACTGATTTGAGATATAAAGGCAACACCAATCTGACGAGAGGGAACCAGGTTGTTACTTGTAACAAAAGAAGATAATAAAGTTCTGAATCTGGAAAATCAGATCTGGAACAATAGAGAAAACAGCAGCAGATCGCTGGCCTCTCACGCGAAGTGCAACGGTAGAGGGATTGGACGGCGCCACTGGATCGACTCCTCAAACCCTAGCCTCCAATGCTTGAAACCCTAGCTAGGGTGAGAGCATCAATTCTGGCTCCAGAATATGTCTTCAAAAATCATCCTCCCCGAAGGCAGCCCCCTCTTTCTTTTTATACTATCCTAAAGAAGCTACTTTAGGGTTTTGCACATAAACCCCAAAAATAAAAGAAACTTTTCTAATACTCCATCAACTTAACTTCTATTATAAAATCATCCCAAATATCCCAAGACAGCTGAAATTAACCCAAACTAAAACATCCAAAATCTGAAATTACTAAAGTACCCCTAGACTACATTATTTGTTGAAAATCACCCCAAACACTACACATACTATACATATTTTACATAAATTCGCATCATTCTTCCCCCCGTTAGGAAGAACTCGCCTCCGTGCGAGTTGCCACTTTTGCAGCCTTGCACATTTCGTCATTAAGCTTCATAAATTCCTCCTCATTTATCCACAAGTTCTCATATTCAGGTTTCCCTACCCACTTGACAAGGAATCGGAAGTAAGTACCAGCTCTTGTCTTCATTTAACGCACTTGGATTACTCTTTTAACCTTATCTTTACTTCCAATAGGAGGACTTGATGGCTCACTATTAGGCATTTTCACCAAACTTACGTAAAATTTTGCACTGGCCAATCTTTTTGCTCTTCAGTTTATGATAAGTGCCAACAGGAAACCTTTCTTTTCGAAGAAAAACCATAACCCAATCTCCGACTTGGAACTCTTTGAACCTTCGATGATGATCAGCAACCTCTTTATAATGTTGATTCATTTCTATCAACTTCTGCCGGACCTCTTCGTGTACCTCCTTTAGATTTTCAGCATAAGCAATAGCATCATCACTAACTTGTGTCTGATTTGATACATCCACAAGATCGACAACCTGATTTGGATTCCTTCCATACACCACTTGGAACGGACTCTTCCCAATTGATCTATTAATGGTACTGTTATAAGCAAATTCAGCTTGTGGTAAGGTCAAATCCCATTTTCGAATGTTGTCCTTAGCAAGGCACCGCAATAAATTGCCTAAGCTACGGTATACTACCTCTGTTTGGCCATCCATTTGGGGGTGATATGCACTGCTGTATTGCAATTTAGCTGTCAGCAACTTCAACAAAGTCTTCCAAAATTGGCTAAGAAATTTTGTGTCCCAATCGGATGTGATAGACTTTGGCAAGCGATGTAGTCTGACAACTTCCCGAAAGAACAAATTTGCCATGTGAGTTGCATCTAACGCCTTTCTACATGCGATGAAATGTGCCATTTTAGAAAATCAATCAACAACAAAAAATATAGAATCAACACCCCTTGTTGTCCGTGGCAACCCCAACACAAAATCCATGCTTACATCAAACCCATGGAGCTGCGAGAATCGGTAAAAGAGTGTACAAGCCTGTGTTTTGCTGCTGCCCTTTAGAAACTTGGCATGTGCGACACCTATCTACATGCCTATATACATCTCGCCGCATTGTTCGCCAAAAGTATCGTTCGGTTACTAAATGTAGTGTTTTGTCCCTTCCAAAATGACCTCCAAGGCGGCAATCAATAACTCCCTTAGAGAACCATCAGGTATGCACAATTTTACTCCTTTAAACAAGTAACCATCATTGATACAAATTCAGCACATACTTTGTTGTCTCTAGTTGCATGCTTGTCAAGCTCCATGTAGGATCACCTCCAGTCCCATAACATTTGTAGACATTGTTTTCAACAAGTAAGCTCTTCTACTCAAAGCACTAGCCACCTTATTCTGCAAACCAGCCTTGTGTTTAAGAGAAAAAGTGTACTCTTGTAGGAACGACACCCACTTAGCATGCCTTCGATTTAATTTCCTTTGGGAATTGAGGAACCGCAAGGCTTCATGGTCTGAATGCAAGATAAACTCCCGTTGAATCAAGTAATGACGCCAAAACTTCAACGCTTAAACAATAGCATAAAACTCAATATCATAAGTGGAATAATTTTGTCGAGCTCCGTTGAGTTTCTCACTATAGTAAGCAACCGGATGCCCCTCTTGGCTTAAGACACCTCAAATTCCAATCTTTGAAGAATCACAGTCCACCTCAAAAATTTTGTTATAGTCTGGTAGTGCAAGTATTGGAGCTTGTGCCATCATCTGCTTGATCCTTTGAAAGCTTTCCTCAGCTTCTCGACCCCAATTGAACCTTCCCACCTTGAGACATTCCGTAATTGAAGCTACTATGGCACTGAAATTCTTAATAAATCTCTGGTAAAAAGTAGCTACACCATGGAAGCTTCTGATCTCTGTTAAAGTTTGGTGTAGGCCAGCTCGTAATAGCTTGAACCTTGATTGGATCAACTTCAAAGCCTTTGGCTGAGACAACAAATCCCAAGAACTCCAATCTGTTCACCATAAATCTGCACTTTTTCAAGTTTGCATAAAGCTGGTTTTTTCTCAAAAGTTGTAGAACAGCCTTCAAATTTTCAGCGTGAGTTCCTCCATCCTTGCTGTAAATCAAAATATCATCGAAGTAGCCCACCACGAACTTCCCAATGTAAGGTTTCAACACCTGATTCATGAATCTCATGAAAGTACTAGGAGCATTTGATAGGCCAAATGGCAAAACTAGCCATTCATAAAGTCCCTCCTTGGTCTTAAATGCTGTTTTCCACTCACCCCTTCTCGGATTCTTATTTGATGATACCCACTCTTCAAATCAATCTTCGAGAAGACTTTGGAACCTGATAGCATATCCAGCAATCTTAGTATTGGAAATCTGTATTTTATTGTAATCTTATTTATAGCTCTGCTGTCCACACACATCCTCCAAGATCCATCCTTCTTCAGCGTAAGCAAAGCGGGCACAGCACAAGGACTTAGACTCTCTTTGATAAAGCCTTTCTTGAGAAGATCCAAAACCTGCCATTGAAGCTCTTCATTTGGACTCATCCGGTAATGTGGCAAGTTTCGGAGGGTAGCTCCTGGCACTAAGTCTATGTGGTGTTGTATCTCCCTCATTGGAGGTAACACATCGGGTAGATCTTCGGGCATAACATCCTTGAATTCTTCCAGAATTTGCTGCACACCTTTAAGCATTGTTTGTGGTTTTACTTGCTTCTTTGCGATAAGCACATAAGCAACTCCACTTTCCTTACTTTCTTCTATAAAGTCATGCATATTTAGAAGTGAATATGAGCTTCCTTTTCCCTTCTTTGCTACCTCCTCATCTTTCAAGGGTTTCAAGACTAGTTTCTTCTTCTTATCACCATCTTTGACATAGAATGAATACGTGTTTTTGCTGCCATCATGTATTATTCCCCGATCATATTGCCAAGGACGGCCAAGTAGAATGTGGCAAGCATACGGACTCTTTGTAATATTTCCCAATAGAAAATTTCACAAGACATCGAGAAGATGCAATTACCTCGTTCCCTTTGTTGAACCAAAGGATACGATATGGTTGTAGGTGCTTCTCGGTCTTCAGCTTCAATTTGTCCACCATTTCTTGGGACACCATATTTTCACTAATCTCACTGTCAATGATCAAATTGCAAAGCTTTCCTCCTGAAATACAACGTGTTCTAAAGATGTTTTTGTGTAGCCAATCATCTTTGTTGTTAACTGGAGGTGCAAGTATAGACCACCTGATAGCAAGTATTTCGCTCAGCACTTCAGCTTCAACTCCTTCGTCGTCAACACCATCATCATATTGTTCTCCTTCCAACTGGTCTGGATTTTCAAAACTAACAAAGTTCTCCTCAAATCCACCCTCTTGATCATCAGCAAAATTAACATTAGCATCTGTTCTTCGCTTTGGACATTCATTAGATCAATGACCAAGTTCTGAACATCTATAACACTTGATTGCCCCCTGCTCTTGCGTGGTATTCTTGTTTTGAACAGCCTTGCCACTAGTAACATTTGCTTGGCTGTTAGAACGAGTGGGAGCTGCTGTCCACCCACCACGAATGGCATTATTTGCTCTAGTAGTTGATGCCCCACTGCTGCAACTATTTTCAAGCCTTTTGGAAGAATTGCGAGTGAGTTGTGCTTCAACTTTTAGTGCAAGCTGATGAGCATCTTTGACCTTATAAGGGCATTGCAAGCTTACTTGGTCTTGTATGGTTAATCGGAGACCATTAACATATCTACTAACCCTTTGGGCTTCAGTTTCAGCAAGATTACTCCTCAATGATAGCCAGTTGAACCCTTGAGTATATTCTTTTACACTCTTGTCTCGCTGCCACAGGTTTTGAACCCTTGATACAATGTTTGTACCTAATCCCGAGGCAAGAATTGAGCTCTCAGCTTCTCTTTCATCTTGTCCCACCTCCTAACCTTGCTCTTTCATTGTCTTTCTCTATCATTCTGGTAGTGCTTCCACCAGGTAGAGGCTGGACCTCTTAACTTCGCTCCAACAATTTTCACTTTCCTCTCTTCAGGAACATCTTTCAATTCAAAATAACTGTCGATGCTGTCAACCAATCAAGAAATTCATCCGATTCCATTTCTCCATTGAATTCTGGGAGATGCACTCGTACACCATACTCTTGGGCATTTTGTAGCGCACTAACTATGCGATCTTCCCACCGTTATGGCCTTCCATTACGCTGAGCAACTCTTTCACCATCTGAACCTCCTTCATCACTAGAGTTGCCACTTCCTCCCTCCGATATCTGGTTGTCTTCATTTTCAGACTCTACAACACGGTCTGACCCATGTTCTCTTCCATTCCTACGATTGTTTCTTTGAATAACCAGTTGTGTGAGGTGTTGTAGTTGTTCTCTCATCTCTCGCCTCAACTCCTCTAGCATATCAACAGTATCATTATTCCTTGCTCTACAACCACGGTTACCTCTTCCACCTTTTGCAGCCATAATATAGCACAAACGTGTAACAACCAAGAGATAAGGACACTAGCAGCCACCAAGAAAGAACTGCTCTGATACCAATCTGATGTAAACAGATGCAGCAGAAGCACTGATTTGAGATATAAAGGCAACACCAATCTGAGGAGAGGGAACTAGGTTCTTACTTGTAACAAAAGAAGATAATAAAGTTCTGAATCTGGAAAATCAGATCTGGAACAACAGAGAAAACAGCGGCAGATCGCTGGCCTCTCGTGCGAAGTGCAGCGGTAGAGGGATTGGACAGCGTCGCAGGGTCGACTCCTCAAACCCTAGCCTCCAATGCTTGAAACCCTAGTTGGGGTGAGAGCATCAATTCTGGCTCCAAAATATGTCTTCAAAAATCATCCTCCCCGAAGGCAGCCTCTCTCTTTCTTTTTATACTATCCTAAAGAAGCTACTTTAGGGTTTTGTACATAAACCCCAAAAATAAAAGGAACTTTTCTAATACTCCATCCACTTAACTTCTATTATAAAATCACCCCAAATATCCCAAGACAGCTGAAATTAACCCAAACTAAAACATCCAAAATCTGAAATTACTAAAGTACCCCTAGACTACATTATTTGTTGAAAATCACCCCAAACACTACACATACTATACATATTTTACATAAATTCGCATCAGAAAACCATCAGGAGATTCGGGGCAAAAGTTATGGGCTATGTTACATGGACTCGGGTACATGTGTCGGACACGGGTATGTATCCATGTGTCGGACATGTCAAATCTCCAAACAGAAGGACACACGGACGCTAAATATTCAATTTATTAATTATTTTATTTTATTTTCTAGAGTAAAGTAATGTTTTTTGTAATAAAATGTTCTATATGGGCATTTAACTCATTTTAAAGCAATAATATAATATAATTGAATGATTGAATATGCTTTTTAAGTACATGTCCAACCAAAAGTAGCGGACAAATATCCCATACCCATGTCCGAGCAATAGATGTCCGACATGGGTACTTCACTACTTTTGAAAAGTTCATGTAACATAGGTTATGGGAAATCCAACTATCATTTAAGAATAATCATGAACCTCAATTACAAAAAGAAAAAAAGGTAAAATATATGAGGTCGACAATAATGAAATATCATAAAAAAAATTAATTATTGTTAATGTGGACCGAAAACATTCCGGAAAACAAATAGATACAACTTTAAAGCATATAGAACAATGATCCATAATGACTAATATTAACTGAGACTCACATAGAAGGCATCCTGCATTGGCCAGCCACCAGGTAGTCTGGATATATCCTTTGAAACTAAATCCCTGCCTGCAGCAGCCAATACTTCATTGAAGACAATTCTTGCACTGGTGCTCTCGGCCAGAGAAGAAATCTTCTGATAGTTAAAGATAATACTAACAGAAATAGAACAGGCAAAGTATAGCATTATTTCATATCAGCATTAAGGAATTAAATAACAAGCAAACAGAAGTTGGGCATTTGAATCCATGGTTCACAGTGGCAATCACGGTGGCCAACGCGGACGTGGACACAGTATAATGGAATGAGGCCCATATCGGTGTAACATAACAGAATTGGTTATCGTAATCATGAATCTTTTTTGACCTTGCACGAAAAGTCTGAAATGCACTGATACGCAACTTTCTACAATATCATTCAAAAAAAAATGGATTTTAGTGAATTTTTTAAGATTATCTAACACAAGTAATGAACTATTCATGAATTCTAAGTCGTCGTGGTTATTAAAAAGGCTTAGTGATTATACTTTTTACAAAATTAATGATTAAAAATAAACTTAATTATAAGATAAATGAAAATACCATAATTACATGAGAAAAAGAGAAAATAAAAACAAAAATATATAAAAATTTCAAAAAAAAAGATGGTTTTATCAACATATAAAATAGCTGAGACATATAAAATAAACCTATCAATATATGATTATATGATCAATTTGTTTTATTCTTGAAGTCTGCAATAATGACTAACTGAAGGGGTTTGTGTTGATTAAATAAAAAACTAGCACTAATAATAGCAGTTCTAGCTCCGTTTTTTTTTTTTTGCCTTCTTTCTTTTCACTCTACCAGTCTCGAAACATTGACCTCAAGCTTGGGAGTTAAGAACCAAAGCCATTAGGACAAAGGTAGACCAGTAGTTCTAGCTTCCCTACCAAGGTTCCTAGGTTCGATTATCAAGTTCTATCATTTTAAATCAATTATCAAGTTATATCATGTTAAAAAGAATTTGCTTAGTGGCAAACTAACTGATTAAATAAAAATTAGCACCCATAATGGCAGAAGATGAAGTTTGGTTGAGTGATAACAGTATTCGCTTTCCTACCTAGGTCAGGTTTGATTCTCAATTCCTTTTACCATTTTTCTGTTTTTTTTAGATTAAAAAAATGCAATTAAATAAAATAGTAGCACTAATAATAACAGGAGTAGTAGCTGGGTTGAGTGACAAAAGTCTTAGCTTCCTTTGTAAAGGCCCAGGTTCCAATCTTGCTTTTGCCAAATTTAGAAAGAAACAGCAAGGTGGATGGTCACAACAGAGGACTCACCGCCAGTAACAGGAGAGCCATTTCCCGTTACAAACAGGAAGGTTTGCCAAACTATGTTTGAAACTCAAAGGCGGACAGAATTTAAATGATAAAAGATACAGCACCAAGAGTTTCCTGACGTAAATATTTCTCAGTTACATGAACTGTAGCAGTGAGCAAAGATTGGGTTGTCCTGCATCAGTATACACTTGTCAATTAATAAAGGAAATGTATCTATTTACTTATCAGAAGACATAAAACACATCAAAGAAACACTTGAATGTACAACTAACTCACAATTTAATAAAAAACAAATGAAAAGGGGGAAAGAAAATGAAAATAGAACCTTGATATATCAATTTCGTTCAGCTCATTCCCCCTCTTCATAACAAACTCGGTGACTGCTTGGACTGCACCTTCTGCTGACTGCTTGATCCTATCACATACTGCTGCTGAGCAACCATGCAAAGCGGCTACAAGCTGTAAGAAACGAACTGAAAGTAACATGAGGGTACTGTGGTATGAAAGTTTCAAACTTTCAGCCTTTCCAATTAAGGTAACATAGAAGTTACATATATATATAAGGCTACTACCTAATGCCAGTCCCACCTGTGCGGGGTGCTTTGAAGGGAAGAAGGGAGACAACTAACTTTTGCCATTATTTTGCAGAGTGGCTGCTCTCAGACACAAATTCATGTCCTCACTTGTGTCAACCTTATATAAATATATATACATGTGTGTGTGCGTTTTAAGAACAGAAATTCTTACCTCATTCTTCGTCAACAAAATACATACAGATGAAACTATCCTGTTAAAGATTTCTGATGGATCAATAGAAGCATCCTGTAGACACAAATAGATACGTTGAAGAGAAGAGCAACCCGTCCTCATTCTATTCCACCACTTCAGAAAGAACAATGAAGACACGAGGTAATCAAACAGAGAAGTTGCAAATGCACTTACACTTCTCAGGATAGCAATAACATCCCCAAGGGAAGACAAAGCACCATAGGACAATTCTATATCAACTCCAGAATTGTAACCTTCAGGCCTTGGTAGTGAAAGAGATATGCTGAAGAATAGATCAAGAATCTGGAAGAAGAGAAAACATCAAAAAGATGAGATGGATGTTTAATCCATACTTGAAAAAGAAAATCAAAAAAGGAAAATTTCCAATTTTTATACCTTGCACTTCATTCATAAAATTAAGGACACAATTTTATTAGAGGGCACTAAATTATGATAAGAATTTCATTGGAGGGCATGTTTTTACTCAAACCACTAATAGTAGCCCGCGAATTACTGATGTAAACTGTTTTAGGGCTTTCAGAAGTAAGAAACAAAAGAGAATGGGGAAAGGGAGAGACAGAAGAAAAAATTTCAAGAAGGACGAAACAAGCAACTTCAAAATATTAGTCTTCTCATATTAGACAAAGATATCTAGTGTAGAATCACCACACCATCTAGCATCAATCATTTCACTTGCTGACCTGAGCAGAAACTTTTCTGACTTCAGAATCTGTATCTGCACAACGTGGAAGATACACTATGACCCTATCCCCCAAACACAAGGCATCACGACTTGGTAATACATATGCAGCTGGCAATAGAAGGAAAAGTATAAATTCAGTAAACAGTAACACAAAAAATTATAAAAGCTAATGTGAAACAAAATTACATGGTAAGTTGGAAAAATTCCGATGCAGAGTACGATCAATTTGCTTGCTGTGCGTGCAACTTCCATGGCAGCCAAATGCACAATATCCACTGACACAAAGTGTCCGAAACTTTAAAAGCATCTCAAGAACTGCAAGACAACCTCTTTTTCTCTGGTACTCCACAGATGAGGAAACATATTGATCAATCTGTCTCAGGATATGCAAAAGCTGCTCTGCTCGGCTTCTTCCATCCTCTCCACTGATGAAAAACTAGTTAGATGAGTTGCACAAGAATCCAAAAAAAATGATATATTTGTGTATCATGCATAAATAAATACATTAATAGACTTTTAGTGATCAGGGAAATCTATGTCCGCTGGAGACTTTTTTTCAAGTAAAACTCAATAAAGAGTGCCAAGGGGTAAACAAAAGTACATGTGGGGCATACATGAGCCAAAAGAACCACAAAAGCTCGAGACACCAAAGAATCCTATAACTGTATCAATAGAAAGGGAGGTCCTTTCCAACAACCATGAAAAAGGGGAAAAGAGGTGGGAAGCACCACATAGAGCTAAGCAATAGATGCTTTAATAGATGTATTTGGCAACTTCAGTCCAACAAAGAAATGCTTAACTTCCTCTTCTTCTATAAGCTTCAAAGAGTGCACAAGGTCTCCACCTCTCCCAACCCATCTGGCTCTCCTTTTACACCCTCCCCTTGCCAATTACCAAGCTCGGCAACCAGAGATCTCCACATGAACCCCATCTAGGGACAGCAAGCAGGACCAAGCTATCTAAACATTAAACAACTTACTAGAGTCTGATTGATTGTGTTGCTTGCCAACACACCTGCAAAAAAGGCCACCTTGGTGCGAACTTTTGCTTGTCAAAGCTCTCTCTATCAAGTGAATTGAATGCCTACCTCTCCGTTCAGCCCATTGTCCAATGAACTCACTTGAAAGCGATATTTTGAGTCCTCCACCTTAAATATTCTTTGCATCCTCGCTGATAGAAGTACCATAAAACTGCCCAAAAATGTATGCACAACCTCCAAGTTAAAATCCTGCACACCATAGTGAACTGAAAATCCCAAAAAAGAGCTCCTATCAGAAAATTTAGCATAATCGACTCTCATTATTTATGGCAATCCTAAAGATATCAGGAAACACCATCTTTATGGCATCCTCTCTAATGCATGTCATACCGGAAGTTCACCTTCTGCCCATCCCCTACTAAAAAACTGGTATTCATGGAAAATCCTTCCCACCATTTCCTTCTGTATTTTCCAAATACCCATCCAATGAGATCCCCCATCCCTGACGAGGTCCAACCTCCCACAGCATTTGTACACGACCTTATTATCCTTCAACAACCGTCTCCATAGCTATCTGGATCCCCAGCAAACCTCCACAAGAACTTTCCCAAAGCTTATCTAACAACCCAGATTTCCTTATGCACGATCCCAGTACCTTGAAAAGGTTAAAGGGAAAGAGAGAAAAAAAAAAAAAAAAAATGCAAAAAAAGAAAAGGTATTCTAGCAGTTTGTTATTGAGGCTGGAATAGTAAATATGGACAAATACGTGGGAGTCACGTGAGAGTCTGAAGAGAGCACTTTTTGTAAAAGTAAGTCTTCCCCTATTAGACAGTGCAGCAACAACATAGCCGTTAAGTCATGTTTCCGTAATGCACTGTTACTACTTTGTCTACTTTGTATCACGTAAAATACACCCACTTCTTAAACTTGATCAAAGAAAAAAAAAAACCTAAAATGCGGAAAGAAAGGTATTCTAGCATTTTGCTATTGAGGCTGGAATAGTAAAGGTGGACAAAATTCGTGGGAGTCTGAAGATGGAATGTTTTGTAAATGTAAGTCTTCTCCTATTAGACAAAGATATCTGTGTAGAATCACCACGCCATCAGCACAACAGTGCAGCAACAAGAAACTAATCTGAAACATAACAGTTAAGTCATTTTCCCGTGACACGGTGTCAGTACTTTGTCTATTTTGTATCACATATCACACACACCCACTTCTTAAACTTGAACAGTAAAATTAGGGATCAAAGATATCTGTGTAGAATCACCACGCCATCAGTAAAAATAAATAGTTATAAGCAATTATTATTTGCAAATTCAGCTAGAGTGGACGGTAGTAAGGTCGGTACAGACAACAGAGTGTATCATGAGAGTCAATCCATACATTTTGCTATTGCACAAAAGTATAGTTGGTACCTTTAACAGATATTTTGTCAAGTTAACAGATATCTTGTTAAGTGTATATGGCAGGATAATAGAAGAATTGGGTGTCAGTTGCATGTTGCAATTATTTGGGACTCTGAAGTGCTTAATTACCAAGAGACTTTAGCGAGCTGCATTTTAGTATATTGGCTTAGGATAGGTGTTTCTGGTTCTCAGTAGCTGCACTTCGACCCAGAAACCCAATAGCTAAATCTATTTTTTGGAAAGACATTTTGATGTATGTGGTCTTTGTTCTCCTTTCTGGTATGGGGCAATGAAGATAGACTTTGCGGTTCAAGAGTCACTAGATGTATGAGAGGATATAATACTTCCATTAGAGAAAGCTATATCCCAACACACTCCTATATGATTTACCCAACTCCAACACTCGTGAACTACCACAAGATGGCCAAGGGATCAATTGACAATAGATGAAAACGAGAAAAAGACGCTATTTAATCATTTTTCGAATTTTCACATTTCCTTTTTCTTTTAACAAAATGCTCCTGTATAGACATGTTGATATTTCAAGAGTGTAATTAATTCATAACAGTTTACAACAAATGAATTTAGAATAACAAAGAATACCTTTTTGGAAGAATTGCACATAAGAGAGTGATAAGGTTGTCTATAAGGGGATTGACAACATCTGCAGGATTATTTGGTAAAGTGAAAAACCCCAAGGTGGCCTGCCGATTTTGAAGAAAAATATTCAGAAGTCCAATATATTAATAACAATGAAACGAGAAGGGATGGATAATCACAATGATAACTTCAATCTACACCTTCATAACAAGGTTTCTTGTCTCGGATGTCAACTTTGGCTCCACAGATACCAAAGTAGTGCAGGCATTTAATGCAAGGGCCTATAAAAACATCCATATCCAGAGAAGGAAAAAAGGTCAAAACAATTTCACCAAAAATTGATGCAACAAGAAGCAAACATTGTGAATTGCAATATCAAAACCTGAGTCTGCAGAAGTTCAAGACTAGAATCACCAAAGCTGCTTTCATCGTCTCGACCCATCAAAGTTAATATATAATCGAGCAGCTGGTCTCTTCTTTTCAATGGGAATGATATACCACTTTCTGCAGCATTAATGACAGCACGACCTGCATCAAAGACAATGCACTATTGCTCTGATTCACTACTAGTATAAATAAAATATCCATAGTCACCGATTTAGTAGAATATCGGTCAGCACAATTGTAAAGTTGATACATGCTACCATGATAATCAAAACTAAATCAGATTGTATGATATACAAAATGTAAGACAAATCCATTAAAAAACTAATACGATACTGTTTGAAGCTTCTAACAGAGAAAGGAACTTCATTCATGATACAGAAAAAAATCTGAGCTTGAAATATTTGTTTTCTTCTGAAAAAATATTATTGCTGTTCTATTGCAGTAGAAAAATTTAGAAATTAATGGTAATCAAACCTTAGCACCTGAAAGAGGGTTAATTTTTGGTGGAAGAGGACAAAGACCCATTAATTAATCCAAAAACCTTGAAGAAATACTTCAAAAAAAAAAAAAAAAAAAAAGGACAAAGGAAAGGGACTAAAAATTCTTCTACAGAATACACATAAATGACTACTAAAAAATAGTTTCCTTAAAATAGAAAGCCCACGTGTTTCCATGTAGTGAAGAGAAAAATTGACATCAATTTCAAAATCCTCCCAAGTAAAGATTCAGGAAAATCTTACAAGTTTCAAATTTTCCTCAATATCACATCATATTAAGGACTATAAAACGAGACACATAAATGCAAACTTAAGGAGCCCAAGAACTGGAAATTAGTCTCATATCCATCATCAAGAAGGATCATCATGATATAAATAGAAGTGAAAGTAAAGCAGCATAGAAGATGAAATCAGCATCATTTCTCAAGAGACTTTACAGACCTAGCAAATCAATAGCAGTGATAACAGCCTGCTTGGCAGTGGGATGGCGTACATGAAGAAGTCGTGAAAGCATATTAGTTCCCTGTAAGCAAGCAAGTACAACAAGTAACTAACCCAATCCAGAAAGAAAAAATATATATTTTTTGATTAATTGATTAAAATAAAAATCGACATTTAATTCATCAAACATGATGAACATATAAACATGTATTTTTCTTCCTTGACTACATACAGGCATTAAATGTACTTTTTCTTTCCGGAATTGCAATGATGTGTGTATTCACATCTTCATTTGTAGTATATATGTAGATCTTTTACAATAAGATCACTTCTTTCTTTATGAAATCAGCATTACATATAACGGTTTTAGCAAGCAAACACAGTAACACACATGTGATGTACTACGCCGTACCAACGGGCTAGTGGCCCAGCGGTACCAAGGCCCAACTTCTCAAAGGGAGGTCAGGGATTCAAGTCTCCATGGAGGTATGGGTGTGTGAGTACCAATTAACTAAAACAATAAGTACTACGTCGTCTTTTAAGCTATTTTTTCCTTATTGATACACTATTGTCAGCTCATATTAGATAAGTTGTTCTTTCAAGTACAGCTAAAAATAAAATAAAATTTAAAAAAAATAAAAAATTATGCCCATTAATGGTAATTGTGACTAAAGAAGCAAGTAAAATATATATATAAATAGAGCAATATGCCCAGGCAGTTTCAGAAAGGATCCAAACGACATGAGCTCATACCACAAGCGCATCTATTCTGGCTTCAATAACTGTCGATGGAGCATATCTTGCTGCATATCCGTACATTAGAGCCAAAGCAGCATGTATATCATCAGAATCATCCATAGTTCGATCAGAGAAAATGGATAGAAATCTGCAACAGGAGGAGCTCCATACTGTTCAGGAAAAATCACACAAAATATTGAAAAGGCTATTGCCTAGTGCTAATCCCATCTATGCGGAGTGGTGGTATGGGAAGACAGCATATAGACCTAACTTTTGGCATTATTATTACACAAAGTAGTTTTTTCTGAAACTTGAACCTATATCCTCGAGCTTGTCAATTCAAGCGTTTAACATTGCACCGAGCAGTAGTAAAATATGCAAGAACAAATTATTAAAAAATAAATAGATAGTGGATAGACTAAATAATGAAAGTAGTAAAACAAAATAGCCACTTCCCCAAACAGTATAAAAGTTATTATGTGTTTAAATGGGAAGTGATTTGCTGCTTAAAGATTAAAAATATGTCAATGCATTTCTTTCCTTTAGCTTTTGATATGAATGCTAAGCATCTATCTGAAATTATTGTTTAAGATGTTCGAAGATTTTTTTTGTTTCTTATATGAACTACCATGTTAAATCTTACATTAGGATATTGATGGATATTTAAAACTCTAAACATCTAAAATAAAACTTTGGACAGTGTTTGAACAACATGGAGTACACAGAATAGCATGAGCTCTGCGTAGAAAATTCCAACAGTATCCAGAATCTTTTAGCAGAGAGAGGGGAGGGAAGGGGAGGGGAAGGAGAAGAGAGAGAGTTTAGATTTATCAAATGGGTCTGCCATTCACCTTAGAAATATACTTTGCCCAACATTATCAAGAATGTTCTTCAATTTTTCCAAAACAGTATCCAAGTGGGATGCAGCAACCTGGAAGAAATTACTAATAGTTCAATATAATTGAGGCAATAATTGAAGAAAGACAACAAAGTCTTGATTCGTAAATACCAATCCCATGGCTTTTGCCAAACCAATCCTATTTGTTGGGAATGCAATATTAGCTTGTTTATACATCCAATCAATCTTATCACGAACATAAGTTCTGTCATCAACTTTCTGAAGAAGCATGCCAAGACATCTGCGATAGAAAGATAAACTTTAAACATAATCAATCCTCCAACCTTCCAAGGGATTGAACATTGTTCTGGGTTTACAGTGGGTGTTAAAAGGGCACAAGTTTTTGAAAGTTCAGCAAAGCGCATATAAGCATAAAATCAAACTACTAAAGCTTGAAGTTAAATAGGGGCCATCCAAAAGATATAATGCGAGAACATCCAAGCCACATGCAGTGGCCAAAATAGCCCCCCAGATTAAACTTGTATTTATTTTATTGTGTTTCAGTTCAGTTGAGAACAATGATATGCTCTTGGGTTTTTCTGAAATCTCCTATCCTGAATTGATTATGTTGCAAGTTGCCACTTTAATCATTCTCTTATCAATTGATATGCTATCAAGGAAAGAGAGCATGCATTGCTCCATTTATGGAGGATAAGTATAACACCAAAGATTTTCCATCAACAAGAATAACCACCTAATATTAAGAAAAGAAAAAAAAAAATAAAAGAATAAAGACGAGGAACCCATAACACCTCCTCCCCCTTAAAAAAAATACATTATTAAGTATTAGAAATTAGTTGCATATGGAAACAGAATTCTTTTTTTTATAAGGAAACAGAAATAATGAGAACATCTTTTGGCCTTGTTGATTTTATATTATTTTTGTCATATTTTCTCGACATACCGATGAATTAGATTTCCACCCTTTTTAAGAAGATGCACAACTAACTTGTGAACAATCTGATTCACAGCAAACACTAAGTAATACAGATGCCAGAGCTCTGGAATAACCGACAATAAAGAAGAACATGATTCACTGTTTTCGTTTCTTGAAACAATCCTTTTGTTTTCTCTGCTAATCATTTGCTAAAACTCATCAGAGGTGTATTTTTGCACCTTGCAGCAATCAGACAGCATATTTATTCTTTCTGCTGCATCAAAATTGGAGTAGCACATAAACTGCAACGCTGAGCCCATAATTAGATGTAGTAAAGATCATCATGAAACAAGAATTAAACACTAAATATTAAATAAGATGAGGGCTACTGTTAAAGATCTTCCGCTGGATGCAGCAGAAGTGCTTCAGTGACAACGATCAAAATCCTCTCCTGCGAAACAGCAGACCTGTCCCCTCCAGTAGTGATGCACGCTACGAAAATGTTGTGGACATCACTGACTGGAGGGGACAGGACACTGTTTGCAGGAGAGGATTTTAGTCCCAGTGACAAACATAGGAAGTCCCACATGGAGATTTCATAGAGTATCCACAGGAGCAATAAAGTTTCAAAATATAAGGATAAGGAAAAAATAAAAGGAAGCACACATAATAAACAATTCAGGTTAGTAATACATGAGACTGCTTCAGTGCTAATCTAGCACAGGTATTTATCCGAACCACATAAATGGAACAAAGATCCTTCAAACTCAATGTCACTACCAAAATCAGGATGGGGGAGGAACTGTAATTTATAGACTATGCTTTCAATTCAACAAACAAGAGAAACATTAAATAGAACAAATGATGAACACATAAATGAAAAACAAAACAGTGAGACAATAAATAAAATAAAAACAACAACATTTCAGAAGAGATGTTAAGAACATGGGATATAATCTGTTCAGAAACACCAACTCACTCTTCTAACATGTATAAATTCAACAAAAGAAGAATTTAAGCAACCAAAAGAAATCTAATAGATCAATACCGGTGCAGCAGCGCAGAATGCTCGTCATCAGGCGTATAAAGTTCATAATGTTTGGCAAAAGCATTTCCCAAAGAAATCACCCAATCAGGATCCTGAATCACATCCAATGATTCTGCGAGGAACTGTCACCCAAAAACAGTTTTATTAGCTGTATGCATTTCTAATACTGGCCCGGGGATTCATTACTTATTTTGTTTTTCAGGTGGAACTGAGAGTATGTTTATTTAATTGTTGTGTCATTCGAAGTAATCCCTTCCTCTTTTCCATCTGCTTATCTAAAATAGACCATATTACAACAGCAGCACGTGAAATTAATCTCATAAAGACTCTAAATTACATCCTAATGACTCCATCATAATAGTAAATTTATCTGTCACATGCAGAAGATAACAAGAAAGATATCAATTTTGTTGTTGATTATATCCTCTAAATCAGGTTCCATTAAATGAAATTTTGGATTATGTATTTTTTTTTTATAAGTTAAATTTTGGATTATGTATTCAACCAATATGATGATAAGACAGAACAGAAATTCAAAATTACAAGTAAAATCTGTCAAAAGACAATGAAACTTACATCGATTATCATGTCATCCCAAGTTTCTTGATATGAAGGATCCTGCTTTAGGTCTTCTGTGTCACTCACATATGCTTTCATTTTTGGAATCTAGAGCTTACCAAACAAGGAAACCAGTTAGAAGCCAGAGCATAATCATTTTCTGTTGTCTTGTAGGGTCAGCTCCAAACATTTGGGAACATTATGTCAAATACTTGTTTCATATTGTAGGGTTTCCAAACATTCAGAACATTATAACAGTGCCACAGACGTAAAACAATGCCACAAGCAGATTTCAAAGGTTCTCTTGATCTTGAGAGAAAATTTTCTGAAAGTAGATTAAGTAAAGGAGTCCATGAAGAACCTGATTTATTTATCTCTAAATTGATTCCGTTTCCACAACTAGCCTCTTGGATTCTACAAATTGCAGTGCCTCAAAGGCCAATTGTTCAAGCAACAAGATGCCTTTGGATTTGTGGGTCTAGTCCCCCTGAGAGTGATCAATTTTCCCTTTTCTCTATTTCCTATTTTTCTCCTATTATGCAATTGATAAAACCCTACTTCCCCTAACACAAATACTAAAACTTTTCTGCTAACAGTCACATATTCTACAATTTCTGCCAAATAAATTAAACATTCGGGCCTACAATCTTTCCAACATTAGTTTGTCAAGATATTCACTCACCACCATAATGATATTTTCTACGAAAAAGAGTAATACTTAAACCCGTACATAAACCAACAATTTTTTAACTAAACAAGAGTACATAATTTTATACCTCGTCTTGCCAAAACAAGTTGATATTTTTTGGAAAGAGAGGTGCCAGACAACATAGGACCTGCAAGGGAAAAAAAAAAAAAAAAAAAGTGAAGCAGATGTTTATTTAATCAGGTAGCTGGTATCGGATTAATTTATAAATGGAAACTAATATGAAAATGTTAACATTACAGTATTACTTTGACTATGTTGTAATGAAACTGAATAGGATCACATCAGGCACATAATACACCTTGAAATTATTTCAGATTGCTTCCCATTTCAAACAAAATTATGGGATCTATACAAATCAAAACTCCACCAATGACGTCTTTACTGTCTTATCTTTACACAACCAATTCCATGCATAAAACCTTTCAATGTTTTTGGAGAAATTGGAGCAAAAGGAAAGGAACATAGTATTTCATGCCCTTCCCTTTCCTTTCAACTTTTTTCAAGACCGTATGAACATTAATTCTGAGAATATCGAGCAAATTACAGGGAAATTCCGTTAAGGGACATGTTTTATCAGCCTACAATTGCTTCAAGAAATGGGCAACAGGTGTCATATAGGTGTTTGGATGCGATGGAAGTAGACACGGGTTCCTGTGCTTTTCTAAATATGAGTTGTTAACAAAGTTAGTCCAAAATAATAGTCTCAACAGAGGCTTTAGGGCGGACAGGGACTCTTCTAGTAAGTTAGAGATATCCCATTTGTTGTTTGCCAATGATACTCTAGTTATCGGTGATGTTGATGAGTCTCAAATGAGATACTTGAGATGTGTTTTGATCTGGTTTCAAGCAGTCTCTAGCTTGAAAGTGGATGCGGGGAAGAGCATGACGGTCCTGGTTGGAAAGGTCCTTAGGATTTCCTCCCTTACAGTCATTCTCGGGTGCAGTGTTGGCTCTGTCCCCATTTTGTATCCAGGGCTGCCTTAGGGGGCGCCTTCTAGGAGAGTGGGTGGCTAGGATCCTGAGGTGGAGAGGTTTTAGAGGAGGCTGGCAGGTGGAAGAAGCAGTATCTGCCGAAATGTGGGAGGGTCAACTTGATGAAGAGCATGTTGTTGAGCCTTCCTACTTATTTCCTCTCTTTTTCAAATTCCCTCTTCTGTGGCTAGGAGGATTGAGAGGTTTGAGCAGAATTTCCTTTGGAGTAGTATGGGGGAAGAATTCAAGTACCATTTGGTTCATTGGGAGCAGGTTTATAGACCAATCCAGTTGGGGGGCTTAGGGATCATGTGTCTGGAGCCTTTCAACAAAACCCATCTGGGTAAGTGGAAGTGAAGGTTTGGTGTGGAAAGGCACAGACTTTGGAGGAGGGTGATTGCCCGCAAATTTGGCGAGAGAGGGGGTTGGTGCTCTCTTGAGGTGAGGAGTCCAGGTGGTGTTAGTGTTTGGAAGTACATCCGGAAAGGCTGGGATGATCTCGATTCTGAGTCAGGGATGGGAGGGGAATTTGATTTGAGAGTAGTAGAGTACATCTGGTGTAGCGAACGTTCTTTGGCTTGCACTTATCCCAAACTCTTCAGAATTGCCTTGGATAGACACGCCTTGGTGGCTGACTATTATCGACTTGATAGTGGGAGGACAACTTGGGATGTTATATTTTCAAGGCATTTTCAGGGTTGGGAGTTAAAGGATGCCATTGGATTCTTGGAGTTGTTGTATCGCCAGGAGGTTGCGAACGATGGATAGGATTCCCAGATATCAGTTTCCTCTCCTCAAGGATGCTTTGATGTTCGCTCTCTCTATAGGTGCCTTTCAGATGCTCCAAGGTCTGCTTTCCTGTGAAAGACTATTTAGCGCTCCAAGGCATTTTCATGATTGGGAGGAATTAAAGGATGCCATTGGATTCTTGGCGTTGTTGTATCGCCAGGAGGTTGCGAACGATGGATTGGATTCCCAGATATTGGTTCCCTCTCCTCAAGGATGCTTTGATGTTCGCTCTCTCTACGCTCTCTCTATAGGTGCCTTTCAGATGCTCCAAGGTCTGCTTTCCCGTGGAAGACTATTTAGCGCTCCAAGGCCCCCTTCAAGGTGGATATTTTTTTGTGTGGACAGCAACTTTGGGGAGGATTCTGACTCTGGATAACCTGAGAAGGAGGAAACAGATGGTTTTCAATTGGTGTTGTATATGTGCAAGAGAGATGAGGAGACTATTGAATCTCCCATTGGAATGGGATTGTTGGAGCTTATTGTTGGGTTTGTTCAGGATCCAGTGGGTTATGCATTGGTCCTCAAGAGGGTTGGTTGAGGGTTGGATAGGTTGTACAGTGGGTGCCCAAGCCCATGTCTTCTGGAGGGTAGTGCCCTTGAGTGTTTGGTGGTGTTTATGGCTAGAACGGAATAGGAGATCCTTTGATTGATGGAGAGGAGTTTCCTATTGGGGCGCTGGAGTTCTCTATTCTTAGTTCTCTTTTTTGTTGGGTTATTGGGAAAAATTGTAATCCATGGGAAAGATAGTCGATTTTTTAGACTCTTTGAGAGTTTAGGGACCCTATTTGGCCATGTGTAGCTTTTGCGGGAGGCGTTTCCCATTTGAACGCTTTCTAATACAACCTCACTTTTAATAATAATAGTCTTAGATCGGACTTAGAATATAAAAACAATGACAGGTACATAAATGGAGTTGGTAGACACTATGATTAGTAAGAGGGTTAATATAATAGTGTGCCTGCATGAAACTAAGTGGATTGGAGAGAAAAATAGGGAAATTAAACATATAGGATATCAACTCTATTCCACTAAAATATATATATATAGAGAGAGAGAGAGAGATAAAATAGGGTAAATTACACTAACCTCCCCTGAGGTTTGGGCATATTACACTGGATGGAGCGTTTGGCCTTTATTACTTCACCTCCCCTAAAAGTGAGAAATGCCATTCATACCCTTATCTAATTTAATAATAGTTTAATAAAACAATATTGCTGACTCTATTACCCCTTTTTTCCCTTCCTGTAAACATAATATTTCTATTTTTTTTTTTTAAATAAAAAGAAACCTAATCCAACTCTAAAAAGAAAACTAATCAAATGTCATTAACAAATATATATATATTTGTAAAGCTTAATAATATGAAATTGGTATGAAAATTGATATTTTGCATTTCAATGGCATTCCATGGTATTTTTGTCAGTTCATGTCAAAAATTTAAGGTTATTGAAGTCTTTTAACACAAGGAAAATGTAACTTAGTCATTTTTTACATTTTTATTAATGATAGGGGGTGCCGTTGAGCACACGTACCAAATCACAGGGGAGGTCAAAGTAATAAAGGTCAAACGCTCTAACTATGTGTAATTTGCCCAAACTTCAGGGGAGGTCAGTGTAATTTACCCAATAAAATAAGTTCTCCCAGCAATTAGCTTTCCATACTTTTTGCCGCCAAATTAAAAAACATGGAGTTAATCACAAGGACTTAAAAAAGACGTAACTATAGATTAGGAGATAAGATAATATTAGTAGAACATATAACTCAACCCAACATGTTCATTTCTAACTCACACATTCATCTTAACATTTGTATTTTTACACACTCGTTTTATACATATGTTATTCGTAGACACCCAACAATCTGTGCCATAAAGTACAGCTGATCTAATAGGTGTTCTATAAAATTTACCTTTCAATTTTAGAGGACATGCCGATCACACAATATGCCAACCGTACTTCTCTATTTAAGTCATCTTGATTTGATTCTATGATAAACATCATCATAAATTTTGCTCAAAAAAAGAAAGAATGAGATCCACCAGCAAGCCACTACTCCCATTTCAAAAAGGGACAATGTATCCAAATACTTTTATTCCAGATCAAAAAAAAACCCAAGTTGAGTAAAGGGACTGACACAGATGTAATTGCATAGGATGAACCAGTAACCAAGAATCATGATCACTGGTATAAACTATAAAGCTGGATGTAGTTAATCCGTAAGTGTTGGTTCAAGTCCAGCTCATGAATCGTGCAAAATCCATAGAAAACTAGAGGCATGCTAGGTTTATAACTCTGAAAACAGTTCTCAAAAATTCAGAAAACAGAAAACAGTTCTCAGAGAACAATTTTTTATAGTTCTCTGAAAACACACATTTTTTTAACCGAGTTCTCAAAAAACTGAACCAAGCAGAGTTTTTTGTACAGTCTTCTGTTTTCAGTTTTCTGAGAACAGAAAACTGTTTTCATAGTTACAAACCAATCACAATACATTTATGATTTAATTCATCTTGATTTAATTATATGGTTAACATCATTGTCAAATTCTTCCTCTTTATTCATAATCAAAAATAGGTTGAAAGCTATTATTTCTAGTAAAACATGTACTGATAGAAAATTTAGTTAAATTATTAGCGCTTAGCACCCCAAAGAGATCTCAACGAATATAAAAAACAAAAAATAAATTTGAAACATAATGATAAATTCATTTTAAGAACACTTGAAAAAGAGAGAAAAAGATAACCATAGAATTTGGATTAAATATGAATTACACTGATACTTTTTCTAATTATAGGAGCCGACTGACTAACATACAAAGATTATAAGACTATTACATGAAAGAACTTAACATCACAACATATATTAACAGTTTATAATATCAACAACACCAACGTTTTGTTGCCTAAAACCTGTATCTTTTTGTCTTGGTTATGAATGAACTAACAAAAGACATTCAGGATAAGATCCCATTAGGTAGACCATTTGCTGATGACATTATTTTAATGATGAATAGAGCACGAAAAAGTGCTATATTAGAGATTTGGAGTGAGCTCTAGAATCAAGATTGTTGAAGTAATTAAGACTTGAAATGAAAATATGAAATGCAACTTTAACAAAACTAGAAATACAGGTGGGGGTGCAGTGAAGATCGTGAGAGTCAAGAGATAAAGGCAAACATAGCATATATATTGCACGTGTACTGTATATGAACTCTTGAAAGATACAATCATGGCATGATGATCTCAGTGATGTGCATCACTTGACCTATTAATTGGATCAGATTGTGTATTTGCAATTTTTTGAGACACAGGTTACAACATGAAGAGGAGATTTTGCATAAGAAATGGAGTCTAGAAAAACATACTGAACTAACTTACCAATCAAAAATCTACTTTCTTTGAAACATAACAAACATAGCAATTTTACTTAGCAAAAAATAAAAATTAAAAAGAGCAATTTTAATAATTTCATGAGTTAAAACAAAAGGCATTGAACCCCTTATATTCATCTGTTGTACTGACATATGAATGCAATGTAAACTGTTGTACAATAGTCATGGAAATACTTACTGTCAAAATCTGAGTCGCCAGCTGCTCCCTCGCGAGAGGATCATGCAGAAGCACCACCAACCGGGCAAAAAGCTCCTGAATATAAGCCAACCCACAGAGTTGACAGTTACATTTCATAGATAAAACGAGGAAGTCACAATATTAGAGAGACTATATACGTCAGCTGAGATTCTACCTCAGGATTTGGAATATCAGTGCGAGCTTTACACTCGGTAAGCATCGTATTATTGTAAGATCTGTGTTTGCACAATTCTGAGATACATCTGCAGACCTGTAAAAGTGGCTATTTTGTACTCAAATTGTACGACAAACAGTCACAATGCAAAACTCACTTCCACAATCAGATGCATGAACAAATTCTGACATGCACCGACCCCAAGCACCAACAAGGAAATAGAGACCACATTCATACAGACCCACACCAAAGAGGAGCAAATAAGTTCGGACTGAACTCAGAAAATAATTTCCCTCCAAGGAGTTGTAACAATGAAGCACAAAAATTTATACCGTAGCAACTGCACCGGTGTAAGCCCGTGGAATGATCATCTTTAACAAAAACGGCCAGAGGATATGCTGTAAAATCAAATAGGATGGATGTTATCCATATTTAGGTATGCCAATTACAGACAAACATGGAACCTAGAGCTATACCATTATGGAATGAAATTAAAAAAGGAAAGAAAAAGAAGGTTTGATGAGTATAGAATTAAATATTTAGTATACCTCCATTTCTGGGATGGTAATGGTTAGTAAAAGAAGACCTTTTTCACATATTGCCCGTAATTCTGTAGGACAAACATTCCCAGTCTTCACCTGAGAAGAACACCAAAAACATGACAACTATAATGCGCTAGAAATGAACAGATTCACACAATAGCTACCAGTATGCCATTCTAAGCAACACATTCAATGCCATCATAACACTACAACCAGACAAAAGCCACAAATTCAAAGATGCAGGACCCACCCTAATGTGCCTGACTAGTCAATGGCGAAGTCAATCACGTAAATTGATGTTTTTGGTAACTATATTTCAATTAAGGACTATTAGTCTTAATTTTTCTCTAAAACTAAACATACGTAGTTTATAATAGTATGGAAATTAAATAGTAACTTAAAAATAATATGTATGTATTAAGTCAGGTGCAAACCTCATATCGCTTGTACGGAAAGGCATAGTAAGTGCCACTTGACCTGAACACTTCCTTCGAGCTCTCAAGATCATTTCTTTCATGATCTGATATAGCACAATGGCGTACAAGATATTCAACAAACAGCTCTCCAGATGGACCAACCAAGTAACAGTGTGAAGCCATAACCACAATCAACTACCATCAAAGCAAAGCAATTACGTGTTAGGAAGTTAAAGAAGTAGTTTTTTACTAATGCTGTAACAATTTTGGCTATCAGTTCTAGGGGTGGGACTTAGGTGGAACAAACCAGAGCAACCAGAAAGCTGCCCGAAAACTTTACAAATGTGGGCAAGGTATTTGAGACCATGAGATTGGAACTTGGTTCAAATCTTAGAACCCAAATATATTTTGGATGGGATTTGGATAAAAGTTTTACTAACCCGAGCAACTTGAGTAACCCAAAATTCAAGAAAAGTTTGCAAATTTTTATGACTACATGTTATTTATATAAAATAAGGTTAGCATTACATGATTTATTCTTTGATCGCCAAATATTATTGGTCGTTATTAACATAACTTCTGACACAGTTGCTTCAAAAGTTTGATGTAAGACTAAAATAACTAATATTAAGTTAAATTTATAAACAAAATAATAAAGAACATAAAGTAATGTGAAGAACAATACTGAATTTCACAGGTTTAAGTGGTTTTATTTTAGGTTAAGTGTATATAGTTTCACTATTTAATGTATATAAGCATTTTCTTTTTTGTAACTTTTTGTTTCTTAGCAGGTTGCTAAAATTTTGAACCACCCTGAAAAACCCGTGATACCCATATGGTATGGCATGGGTGGAGATGTAATGGGTTACTAATTACGTGGATTTGGCTTGGGCTCGGGTATTAGTATCCTAGGTCTAGCGTGAGTTGACTCCTCAACCCACCCAAACCCCAACCCTAATCAGTTCATAACAACATACCTCCGAAAGAGCCTTACAAACCCCCAAACTTTGCTCATCTAGCAACAACTTCACAGCTTCAACAAGTGAAGGCCTTTTACCGTGCCAAGCTTCGGATAACCTTCACATAGATAGAAAAGTCAGGTGATGAAAACAATTTAGAATAAATATAACAGACAACAGAAGGAAAGAAACCTGGGCAAAAGATGCTTTAGAACACAAAGTGTGCCAAAAGTTAAGGGTTCGTCCTTCAACCTGCACTTCTGGAAGCAACAACAGACAAAAATTCATGACACTTAGTTTCCCAAGTAATGTTACTCCTCAAAGCTGTAGCCAAGAAATAGTACCCACATTCAGAAGGAACACAAATAAATCCTCAGGGTATACCAAGCCAACTGTCAGAAAGCAATGCTGAACCTCATTGTAGGCCTGCCACAAACAACAAACAGAAAAAAGAAAACGTAAATATAAAAAAAGGTGATGATGCAAATAGAAAACCAGATTGCACCAGACATAAAACACAGCATACGGATGTGACAATTTACACTGAGTCATAGCGAAGGGAAAACAATCCTTCGTTTTATTAAGTCCGCAAATATAATCCCAGAATATACACCAAAATATTGTTCATCAAAGTGAACATACACAAATTAAAGTAACTAGCACTCAAGAATAAGAAGGAAACAGAAAATGTCAAATAAAATTTCAAGGGAAAAAAAGAAGAAGGAAGAGATTTGAAACAACCCCTGCCTTCTCATACTTTTTTGGTCGTTTATATATAAAAAGAATGCATATACATGCAAAGAGAAAAGGGGAAAAAAGGCAGAAATAGATAACAAAGTGGAACTACATGCTACTAGAAATGGAACAAGATGATTTAACAAAATGTTCCAAAAACAAAAAGTTGAACATGAAAACAAAAAAAAAAAAAAAAAAAATCAAGAATTTTAATAACATATTGGACTTAAAGAGCATGCAGATTGTCAACTTCATCGAACTCCAAAGAACAAAAACATTTGAATAGAACAGGTTTTTGGCAGCTACAATATGGGAACACCTTAAGTCCCACTGAGAAAACTGATCGCTCTTTGCTGTCGTTATTGATGCAAACCACAGGAAGAAGTGTTGACAAAACAACTGTGAGATCCTGCAACAAAAAACATGAGTACCCATCAAATAAAGTGACCTATCATCACCCAAAAAGCATGTTTTTTATATTCATATATGAAAAGTGCAGCACAAGATAGCAGCACTTTTCTGATAAGAGATTTTATTATTTATAGAAGGTCAGATAGCACATTATTCTCCAAATCTGAAAGTCGAATGAAGTAGAGCAAATGGTTAATTAACCAATAAAATGATGAATCAACATTCTTGCATTTAAAATTTTTTTGTATAGAGATGTCTATTTATGCCTCAAAAGAGACCGACTTACAGATGCTACATCATCCACGTCACCAGCTAGGCATCTATGCATATTCATGCAATCAAAAAGGTGTTAAGCTCATTACAAGCCATACAATCTAATGAAAATCAAAAGAAGTAGTCGAACCAAAGGATAAATCAACTACTAAAACTGCTCTCCAAAACTATGGTAGAAACACTGTGTAAGAATGACATCTCAAAAAAGAATACTTATGGAACAATGTAGCTTTGGAGAATGACCGTCATACTCTATATTAAAGATTGCCATATTTTAAGGAAGAGGTTATGAAGTTCTGCTGGAAAAGTTTACATTTTCTACCAAATTTCCTCAAAGTTGTGCCAAAATGAAATTTGTCACAATATTTTACCTTTACAAAAGAGAAAACTGGAGATACTTAAAACCCACGCTTGTATACATAGGTATGTTGTACACAGCTCAGACTTCTAGGACCATACAGATAATTGACAAGATATAATGCAACTTTTCCTTTTTCACTTTCCTATTTGTCCCCAGGACTGAAATTTTTGCCCAAAAATAGATCTTGATAAACTCAAGAAATATTGAGATGTCCAATTAAAGCAACAATACTTTCTGAAATATATTCTTGAAAGCTACAAGAAGTGGACTGATAGCAAATTAACAAATAACTGATCATATCAAAAAGACACAATTATCGAGGTGGTGACTGCAACATCTATAATCTATCATAGGCAATACAAGTATTATACAGATAATTATATAAAAAGATAGATTGAGAGATAATATTTTTCAACACACACACACACACAGTTGCAAACATCTTCTAGGATAAAGTATGAATGCAAACCTATATCTTTATTTCCAATTTCACTTGCCCAATTCATAACTGTAGAGAAAAAAATACTGAGTGATTACCCAATTCCTTCGCATTCGTCTTGATTTATTAGATGTAATTAAATTTAATAAGACTATATCCGATGAACAACTCCATTTTCTTAGATATTTAGTGCCCCTTGAGATTTCGGGTTGCCATCCATACAAAACCCATTTTGGATTAAAGGTCAATGCAATTCAGCCTTTATCAATTTCCCAACATGGCTTTTCTTTTCTTTCAATAACATCTCTGCTTTCTAATAAGGAGAGCAAAAGGTACAGCTTTATCCTTTCTACCGTGCAGCGGCATGCTGCCCAACCAGACACATTTTTGGTGGTTCTGGTCTTCAACAAATCTCTTTTTTCTTTCCTTTTAATTTCCTTTTTGCAATGTAACATATGATCTCTCTTTCTTTTTATTATTTGTACATAAATTACCTGACTGTTGCTGTCCTGTTGCCATCACTAGCTATTCTTATTGCTTCTCCAATTCATCCTTTTTCTCTAACAAGAGAAAAATGCAGTTTATGTGGCAAGTGTTGCTAACTTCGATGTATTCGTAGACTAGGTTGTGTCTCAAGTCTGTCAGGACTTGATTTCATGTGCAAAGCACGTGCTCACCTCTCACAAGAAGGTACATGAATCCATGCATATGTGTAATAGCATGTGAAATTTCCTTCATACAAGTTGGCCAAAATTTTGGCAATTGCAGTATAACAAGAAGCACTTATCACGTCAATTATCACTCGACAATCATTTTGTGGCAAATTGATTTGAGTTTCATTGGCAATCATGATTGTATGAAGATCTCATCATATGGCAAAGTCAAAACAATTCCCATCCCATCAACTTGAGGGGTAGAGTTGAGAATTAAGAATTATTATAAGTGGTTATACTATTGCATTATAGCACACCGTGTTGTAATGCACTGTGACACTGTTCTTGATTTGATTAGATACAATGAGATTTGAATAGGTAACAGCAATACTAGATATTTGGTATTCTTTCAGATTTAGGGTAGTTATCCATCTAAACAATATTTTGGGTTAGACTTAACATAATTCAATCTTTATTTTCTAAAACACAATTTAAAACTTTTAACCAACGCATAATTCAATTATCCATCTAATATTTCATAATTTTAACCAACACATAATTCAACTATCCATCTAATATATGATTACTTATTGAAATACAGTTTCATGCATACACAAACATTTGCCAAGGTGTCGATCTGAAAATCATAATTCAAACCTAGAGTCACTTTTTAAAAAAAAAATGCTGGAACTTATAAACAAAAAAAAAAAAAAAAAAAAAAAAAAAAAAAAAAACACACAATCAACCATTTCTACAATGACTGATTCATGTGATAAATCTCTACATATGAGCATCTTGATTCCCTTGAGAAGAAGATGGATGTTATGCAGTTACATAGCACCAAATATTTTTGTCAGAACAATAATACTTGCTAAGGATTCTCAATTTTTGTATAAATACATCTAATAAATTTTCTGATGTTCCCTGGATTAGCTTCAGTTCTTTGACCATCAAGCTATGGGAAAAACTGAATCCACATAGGACTCGCAAAACTTGTAACACCTGAGGTTACACCTTATAAACACAAATTAAAAAAGAAAAGCAAAGAATAACTTAATATTTATGAAATACAGACAGTGTTAGATTATGAGAACAGAAGCAAGTTTCTTATACACATTTTTAAGGTGTACTGTATAATAACTAGAACGTACTACCAAGCCTGAGCTGCAAGAAATAGAGAAACTAAAACTCCGGGAAAACAAAAAAAATTCCTTGCACAAATAAACTCACTTTGATGACAGATAAACTACTAGAAATGATGAAATGAAATGCCCATTACTGTTAACAACCATCTACTCCAAAAGCTTAAGTTGTTAGAGAGAGTGTAACTTAAATATATAAATCCTTCAACATGCCCCCTCACGTGTAGCCTTCTTTTGGTCCAACACGTGTTTTTCAATTTTTAATTAGGGTGACGGTGAGGTTTGAACTCGAGACCTTTGGCTCTGATACCATGTTAACAACTATCTACTCCAAAAGCTTAAGTTGTTAGAGAGGGTGTAACTTAAATATATAAATCCTTCAACAATTACCTCAAAATCAAGCAAAGGAGGACCACTTTCTGACAGTAAAGAAGCATATAGGATATTGTGGAGACTGCATGTAGCCACAAAGGCAACATCTAGATCTTTCTTATACCTGATTAACATAAAAGTACAAGAAAACCACAATATGATCCTGTTAATGTTCATAAACATGTAAACATATGCAACTTTGGAAGAGTATTTTTCATCTCTCAGTGTTTGTATCTGTGGGGATATATACGTATCATCACTACCGTCTAATGAACTATATCAGAAAAGATTGAAGTGTGTGTATGTGTGTGTACATGCATGTGCACAAAGCATGGCATCATGAATGTGTAGTTTCAAACACCTTAAAACAAACTTCATCTTACAGTTCCAAAATAGTCGGGATAAGTCTTGGTAAAGCAACCTTCAATTGTGTTCGAGTTACAAGACCAACCATCTGACCCAGAGCTTCCACAGTAGATATGCGGACCTAGTGCAAAAAAAAAAAAAAGGGTCAAATAACAAGACATTCTCATTTAATTTATTTAGCAAAATATTTCAAAAGAGTACCCTGAATAATTCTTTTTAGACAATACTAAGATTCTATAAACCCTGACGATTAAAAATATGTAATATGCTTGGTTCAGTTTTCTGTTTCCAGAGGACTTAAAATCAGAAAACTACATAAACTTGTTTGGTTGCAGTTACATAAACTACTTTGGTTGCAGCTTTCTGAAGACTCGGTTAAAAATGAAAATTGTTTGTTATCAGAGAACTGTCTTTTATAGTTCTCTAAAAACAGTTTTCTGCTTTGAGTTCTTGCGAGCTGCTTTCAGAAAACTAAACCAAGCAGAAGATTTCCAGTGAAAAATGGAAATCATCTTTCTGTTATCCTTCTTTGTCTTATTGAAATATAATCCAGATTGGAGCGGTTATTGATAAATAAAAGTATTGATCCTAAAGAAGATGAAGACATTTACCTTACATATTATAATATAAAATATTTAGTGTTTAAACTTTCATGCAGTACTCTGAAAAACTAGACCTCCTAGAACTTTTCACCATGTTACATGCAATAAGCTATATATGTACTCACTTACCTATATATATACACATGCGCACACACTTTACTCATTTATTTTTTTCAATTTGCGCTTTCCAGTTTTTATTTTCTTCAGGGGTCAATACTTGATGCAATAGTAAAAAGGCTGACAACATGAAAATAGGTATTTAAGTCAGAACTCAGAAGGCAGTCAAGTCATGCAAATAACAGTGAAAAGTTAAGTTTCTACCCAATCTACTCTGGCCACCGGGATTGACGGACCATGACAATGGCCTTTCAATATTTTTTCTTATTTATAACATGTCAGTCCATACAAAACTTATCCCAAAAAAGAGAGAGGGGGGAGCCCATGCACACAAGACATCCATGAAGTGGGTTTAGTGCAACCCTTGAGAGGTTCAGAGCAAGTAATTTATCTAGACTGTAATTTTTTGCAAAGACATTTATCACGTACAGATATATAAGAACCATTGGATAATAACTCTTTCTAATTTTGAAACTTGTCTAATTTTTTTTTTTTTTGATAAGTGAAACTTGTCTAATTTTAAACAAAATAAATAAAGTTAACAGGTACCATTTGGATAGCATTCACTTACTTTTGGAAGAAAAAAAAAAAAAAAACAAAAAAAAAACTTCAATTTTTTTCAAACCTTTAAGAGACTGTAACCATCACCCATCCGCCGAAAAGGAAAAAGAACATTTTGAATACTTGCTAAGATTGATAGGGCCCCCGTTGACATTGCTGAGATTGATAGATTGGAAGGGGCGGGTGGTATTGTTGAGTCTTAACATGATGAGAGAGCAGCTTGTCAAGCAGAGATTGTTGAGATTGCGGTTCTAAAGGAAATTTCGTGGCGACAGAAATCTCGGGCTTTGTGGCTCAAAGAGGGAGACCGTAATACAAAGTTTTTTCATAGAACTGTCAATGCACATAGGAGGGGCAATCATATTGGGCGGATTTGTGTGGACGGAACGGTATTGAGTACGGAGGAGGAGGTGTGTAGGGGGATCGTTTCTTTCTACCAGAGGCTCTACTCTGAGCCTCTACATTGGAGACCACGGCTCGATGGCCTTCATTTGGACTCTATATTAGCTGTGGATAGGGATGGGTTAGAGAGTCCTTTTCCAGAGGAGGAGGTTTTGAAGGCTTTGAAGGCTTTGAAGAGTTGTAATGGTGACAAAGCTCCAGGTCCGGATGGTTTCACAATGAGGTTTTTATTGGAGAGCTGGGTGGTGGTTAGACAAGAAGTTATGGGCTCTCTTAATGAGTTCCATTCTAATGGAAGGTTCGAAAAGTCGCTGAATGCATCTTTTATTCATCTAATTCCTCTAATTGGGTGTATCTATAAGCTTATCGCTAAAGTCCTTGCGTTAAGATTGAGGGAGGCGTTTTGAGGTGAGGTCTTTCTTCAAGTGCCTCTCTTTTGATCCTGGAGTTCGTTTTCCTTAGAAGTCTGTTTGGCGTTCTAAGGCTCCTCTCAAAGTGGCTTTCTTTGTGTGGACTTCAGTTCTGGGTAGGATCTTAACCCAGGATAATTTGAGAAGGAGAAGCCAGATGGTGGTCAATCATTGTTATATGTGTCTTCGTGATGAGGAATCTGTGGATCACCTTCTTATTCATTGCTCTTTGGCTAGAGAGTGTTGGGATTTGATGCTTGGCTTATTTGGGTTTTATTGGGTTATGCCAGGATCTACTAGAGAGTTGATTGAGATGTGGAGAGGTTGCCATGTGGGGGCTCTCAGTCAGGATGCGTGGAGAGCTACGCCGCTTTGTGTGTGGTGGTGTATTTGGCTTGAAAAGAATAGGAGATTCTTTGAAGGAAAGGCGATGTCGATTTCGGTGCTTAAATTCTCGATTATTTCAACTCCTTTTTGTTGGGTTTCAGGGAGAGATCATAGATCGTTGAGGGAAATTATTGATTTTTTGGCCTCTATGAAGGCTTGAGTCCTTTGTGCTCTTTTGTATTTCCTTGGGTTTCGCTCCCATCTTGAGCATCTTTTAATAATATTCTTTTATTTATCAAAAAAAAAGATTGAGGGAGGTTCTGGATGGAGTCATCTCCAGATCTCAAAATGCGTTCATTGGGCAAATAGATCTTGGATTCCACTCTCATTGCTAGTGAATGTGTGGATTAGAGGCTCAGTAGCGATGTTCCTGGAGTTCTGTGTGAGCTTCATATTGAGAAAGCCTATGATCATGTGTGCTGGAATTTTTTGTTTTATCTGTTAGAGATGAGGGGTTTCGAAGAGAAATGGAGGAGATGGACCGACGCGTGCATTTCCTCTGTCAAATTTTCTGTGTTGGTGAATGGGTCTACATCGGGGTTTTTTTTGGCAGTTCTCGTGGTTTGAGGCAAGGGGACCCACTCTCCCCATTCTTATTCATTATTGTTATGCAGGCTCCTAGTGGGTTGATGAGAAGGGCTGTGGATTTGTGATTTATCAGGGGCTTCAGGATTGGTTAAGATTCAGTTCAGCATATGGAGATTTCTCACCTACTTTTTTCAGATGACACTCTGGTTTTCTGTGAGGCAGATGTGTCCCAACTGAGGTATTTGAGATGTGTGTTGGTCTGCTTTTAGGCAGTCTCAAGTTTGAAAGTAACGTGGGCAAGATCTTTCAAAGGGAGGGAAAGTTACTTTGATGAAGAGTACTTTGTCCAGTCTTCTAACTTATTTTCTCTTGCTTTTCCAGATCCCCTCCTCTATTGTTGGAAGACTTGAGATGCTTCAACGGAACTTCCTCTGGGGCGGACGGAGGGAGGAGTTTAAATTTCATCTTTTCCGATGGGAGCAGGTCTGCAAACCCTTTAAGTTAAGCAGTCTTGGGATTATGGAGGAAGGTTGTTTCATGTCGTTTTGGGGAGGAGATAGGGGGGATGGTCATCTAGGCCGGTCAAATCCGTTGTCAGTGTGGGGGTGTGGAAATCCATTGGGAAGGGATGGGATTAGTTCTCTAAGCATATTAGATTCAGAGTTCGGGAAGGAAGGGACATCCGTGTTTTGGAAGGATACTTGGTGCAAGGATAGCCCATTATCTTGTTTGTTTCCAAGGTTGTTCAAGATTGCTGTTGACAGACATGCTTTGGTAGCTGACTGTTATTGACTCGATTGCGGTAGGTTGTCTTGGGATGTGCGATTCCGGCGATCCTTTCAGGATTGGGAGTTGGACAACGTCACTGGCTTGCTAGACTTTTTGTATAGATAGGAGGTGGATGGTACTGGTTTGGATTCCTTAACTTGGGTGCCTTCTTCGCAAGGGACTTTTCAGGTCCGTTCCTTTTTTCTCTGCCTCTCCAAGTTTCACGGTTCCAATTTCCCGTGGAAAACGGTTTGGCAATCGAAGGCTCCTCTTAGGGTGGCCTTTTTTGTTTGGACTACAGTTGGGGCAGGATCTTGACTCTGGACAATTTGATAAAAATAAAGAAGACAAATCATAGTCAACCGGTGTTATCTGTGTAAGAATGATGGAGAATATGTGGATCCCCTTCTTTTGCATTATCCCATGGCTCATGAGTGCTGGAGTCTTATTTTGGGTTTTTTTGGCGTCCAATGGGCTATGCCCCAGACTTCAAGGGATTTGATTGACGTATGGAGGGGCCAAAGGGTGGGGGGGCTCATGCTCGTAACTATTGAAGGGTGACCCCCCTTTGTGTTTGGTGGAGTCTTTGGAAAGAGCGGAATAGAAGATCTTTTAATGGGGAGGAATTCTCCATTGGGGCGTTGAAGTTTTCTATTATTTTTTCTCTTTTTAGTTGGGTTATAGGGAGAAATTGTATATCTTTAGATGAAATCGTGGACTTTTTGGGTTCTTTGGGTCCATAGGATTCCCTTTTTTGGTTTCGGTATTTGTACAGCTCTTGGGACACGTTCCCCTTTTGAACGCTTTCTAATACTACGTACAATTTTACTTATCAAAAAAAAAAAAAAAGAATGCGAAGTACATATTTACCAGTACAAAGTGATATGTGAAATCAAAAGAAAACAACGAGGAGATGAAGAATAACAAAAAAATTATTTTGTGGACCTTAAGATCCCGTGAAGTCGCCCAAACCTTCAATAAAAGCTCAAAAGCAGAATTCAGAAATGACCTGCACTAGAGATACATTCATTTGAGAGAAAACAGTTGTGCAAAAATCATAGGCATATAAAAACTAACCAAAAAGCAAATTGTTGTTCTCACATGACGTCGCCATCAAGAAGTGAAAGCAAAGGGAAATCCACACTATATTGCCAACAAGCCTGACACCAACACTTAAATGCTGAAGATCAATCAATCAACATAATTAGAAGTTAGCTGGCTAGGAAAAGAAGAGAAAAACATTAGGTGCCATAGCACAATACCTACAAAAAATTAATGCAACAAAAAGGTGAAGTAACTTAATTTAGGGTGATCACGAAACTGTAAACAACTGGACTGAAATTCAACTCCGAAAAGAATGTGACCAGCTGACAGAACTGAACCAACTAATTGACCCAGAGTGACCCAATAATAAAATTGCTGGCGGCCAGACCTATAAAAAGCCTATTTGGTGTGAACTTACCCTAGGCTAACTATCTTTCACTGAAATTGCTAAATCTTCATCAGACTTCACCTATGATGTGTAGTGATGGTACCAAGAAAAAATATATACACACTACTTCCAGCTATTGGTCTAAGAGAAAAGCCTTCTTTTTCTTTACTACCAAAAATCCATAGAATTAACCCCCACAGGGTACCTGAGTTAGCATAAGGCGTATAGGAATGACCCAAAGGTCTTCTGTTCAACTCTTAGGAGCAGTAAGCATCTGCCCTGGGCTTACCTGATACCCATGGTTTGGATGTGATTGTGGCTATCCAAAGCGAATAGTTCCGCCCCTAAAGAGGGTGAGACACCCTCCTTTACAAAAAAATTATAATACTAAAATTTCATAGCACTCCTCTCTTTTCATGATTCAATCCAATGGGCGTAATGAGGTCCATCCAATCTTGTTAAAAATAAAAAATAATTAAAAAAATAAATAAATAACCTATCAGTTAATAAAACACAGGCAAGTGGATCCATGCAATTTGGAGAAAATTCGAGTATTTAGCAGGACTAGAGTGGTGATGGGTGAGGTTTCACTTGCAAATGAGTGAATGGACATGAGAAAACACAAGAAGCATAAACAGATTGGTGAGGATGATTTGCGAAGATGATCTACAAAAGGCTAATGATCACGTACTTGGATGCCTGTTATTCAACTGCCTCTTTCGCCGTTATCTTTCATGGGCCCTTGTGCCTTTTTTATCTCCCAAGTGGGGCGCTGCATCTTTCTCCCAAAGCACTAGAGAATTACGACAAGGAAATCTATTATCTACCTTCTTGTTCATCCTTGTGACATGCTCAAAGGGTATTGTGACATCCGCATAAATTACCAACAGTTTGCATGTCAAACTTTAATTTTCAAGCCTCTCACGGCAGCGTCACTATGTGAACGCCCTCTGCAATGTTGTATCTTGTCTTGGAACTGAATAATGATCTTCAGAAAATTTTGTTACAAGTTTAAATTAAGAGCTTTTTTTTTATCTGGTTTAAATTAAGAGATTCATCTCCACTCATTTGCATGTGCCCTGAACTGCAGAATTGGTTACCCACATTTTACTTTCCTCGCTTCCCTTTTTTCAGACTTGAAAGGCAAGTAACATAATGAAGATGTTAATTTCCTCTGAGTGCTGTCATCACTTTATTTAGTCTTCCTCCTATCTCCTTTTCAAATTCCTATAGAGATGGATAATAGATTGGAAAGACGGTTAACAACTCTGTGGGACAGAAATAAAGATAAACTCAAATATAATTTATGAAGTGGGAAGGGCTAGTTGCTTTGCTAAAAGCCGGGATAGACAAGCATGAGTAATGTTCAAGTCTGAGAGCAGTCATTTTGAGTAAACTAATGTCAAAGATTAGGTTTGTCTCCAATCTTCCCTTCTCAGCACACTGCCTAGGTGGACACTTTTATTTATGAGGTAGGAGAGAGAGTTCATATCGTATCAAAAGATGGGGCCTTGGCAGTTGCCCTTTTGCTCCTTGTGATGGATTTAATTTATTGGTTTGTTGTGCTTAATGTCTCACACCCTTTTAGTTTTTTTGTTGATGCATTATTGCTTTTGGTCATAAAGGAAAGCTGCTCTGGTGTATAACCCCATATGCAACTACCTGGTCCATTTTGAAGGAGAGGAACTTCATAATTTTCTAAGGAGAAGGTTCCGTTATTCTTTTTGTTCACAGAGTCAAGTCATGCATGATTGATTGGGCAGTCTTCATGCGTCTTGGGGGAGATTTGCATTAAATGCGGCATAGCGACTGAGAAAAGATACTTTACACAGCTAGGTCATTGGAGTCTTGTTCTGTTACTTCTGAAACGACAGTGGGCCTCACCCCTTCTCTTTCTGTCCATGAATGACAGTAGAGAAAGAGAACGTTGTTCTTGAAACATTCAGATGGTTTGAATTTGGAAAGGAAGCATGTGTGAGTTTGCATAAAGGTACACTTGATTCAAAATGCCATAATAAAATGAATTTATATCCGTCAACATTAAAGAATGAATCAAAGAAAGAAAAAAATTTCATGAACCAAACATCATAATCCTATTTTAAAATCAAAATGAAAAAAGTCACTATACCATTTGCAAAAATTGGTCGGTGGGCATCTCTCACATTTCCAAGAATAGGCAGAACTCGTAAAAGTACACCTTTGAGCCGTGGAGCAAACTGCAATGCTTCAATAAATTATGAAAGTTCAGCAACCACATTAGTTTGAGAAAACAAATTGCAATTGCTACAAATTTTCAAGCTAATCATAATGCCCAAAGAAAAGGAAGTGTGATGGCTAACCATCGGCAGAAGCAAAGTCCGCAAGTATTTGGACCATAGCTGGAAGTGCTGAATTTGGCCCCGAAAGATGAAGAAATATTTCTTCTATCATCTGCAAAAGCAAGTGAACAAAATATGTAAAGATTCAAAAGGTGCTGCATGAAAGAGGAGAGTGAGAGAGTGACCAAGTAACAGGCATTCTATTTAAGGTCAAAATATCCAACACCTTAGTAGAACAATGTACACTTATAACTGCTCTGGAAGCACTTAATTATGAGGATTTTTATTTTTTAAACAATATACTGAAAATGTGGAAGTTATAAGCTTCGGTGCCAAACAAAAAAAAAAAAAATTGGTAAGAACCACCAAGGCCTTAACTCTACTGGTATCTCCTTTACTTTGTACGTAGAAGGTTGAGGGTTGAAGTTCCTCTAAGAAGCAATTGTGGGTGTGCAAGTGTGTCTTAGTTACCACAACAACAGGGGGGGGGGGGGGGGGGGGGGGGGGGGGGGGGTGTGGGGGTGGGGGGAAATGTAAGAAGTATTGGAAAAATATATATTCGAGTGGATACCCCCAGTATACAATGAATAAAAAGTAGGGAAAAAATTTCCTTTGGATTAGCAAAAGATGGAAAAATCAAGTACATAATTTAGCTAGATGTATATTATTACAACTAAACCTCAGGAAGCTTTCTTTTATGCAATGGAAGAATTAAATATGAGAACTGGTAGAAGTTTGATACAAGTTTATTGTAATATTTCATCCTAGACTTGATTGTAGTGATTTATAGATTTTAGTCTTAATATTTCATCCTGAGATAATTTATTCTTAATTTGATGAAAACTAATATTAGTCTTACAATATATTATCGCATGCATAAAAAGTATATATTTATTATTCGACATATTCCCGCCATGTCGGTGTCTAAATTTTTTAAGATTTTCCATGTTGCCATGTCCATGTTCCGTCGTATACATGCCACGCATCCATATCAATGCTTCTTAATCACTTTCTAAATCTTGTATATCGTCAATAAGAATCAAATCTTTAACTTCATCTTTTTAAATGTCATGACAACACTTCTATACTATACATTGGCTTTGGCCTCACACTTTTCAAATAGAGTTCTTCATTCATGTGAAATTTTAATTTTAAAGGGTTTATAACCTATCTATCCAGCATATATATATATATATATATATATATATATATATATAAGCTATACGAACAAAATAAATAAACAACTAATCAAATACAAAGCTCTCTGTTCCCTTTTTTATTTTTAACTTCTAATAAAATGATACTGCAATAAAAAGAGAGATACAACACCTTATTCAATTTCCAAAATCATGATACAAAATAACTTCTAAATGAGCACACTACATTGCAGACTAACGGAAACCTCCCATCAGTTTTGGAAACCATCCAAATCAACAACTTACTAAGTCAGGCAAATGTGAGCCAATTGCAACAAGTAGACCTGCAGCAGCCCTTTGCCAGTCAGCATTAAGTTCCTACAAGAAGGTAAAAAATGAAAATGAAAAAGACATCGGTCATGAACAAGTAAATTGATGACAAGCTCACAAGCAGATGACATAATCAAGCTGCAGTTCAAACTAATAAAGATTAAGGCTTGTATGCACAATAAATATAGCACTCATTACCATCAAAAGTGTAGCTTTAGCAAATCTAGAAATACAAATGCGGATGTGGTGAAACTTGAGGATTAAGAGGTACAAAAAAGTGAACATTTTCATTATTTAGGCTCAATTATTCATAATGAAGGAGAAATTGTAGATGATGTTAATCAGAGAATCAAGGCAATTTAATGGAGGGGTGCATCTAGTATATTGTGTTATCGGTGTATCAAGTTAAGATTGAAAGGAAGGTCTATAGAACAACTAGTAGATCAGTCATACGTAATGGGACAAAATGTTAGGAAGCTAAGAAACCATATGTGCATAAAGTGAGTATGGCAAAAGTGAGAATGTTAAGGTGGATGTGCGGAAAGACTAGAAAGGATAAAATTAGAAATGATCATATCCGTGACATGGTTGGAATAGCAACAATTGGATATAAAATAAAGGAAAATCAGTAAAGATGGTTTGGACATGTGCACACAAGTGCGCCAGTTACGAAGAGTGACATAGTCCACATTAAGGTTAATACTAAGGGAAAAGGAAGAACAAAGTTAACGTGGGAAAAATTAGTAAGTAAGAATATGATAACATATGGTTTGACTGAGGCCATGGCCTTAGAGCGGAGTGGAAAAATATAATTCGTGTAACCGACTCCAAATAGTTGGAAAAAATGTTTTGGCTGTTGTTGTTGAAGCATCAAAAGATTTTCACTACCAAATAAAAATTGACAGTTTAACCCAACTGTTGGAGCCAGTGACACAATTCAAGTCTTTAATCCAACATTCAACACATCAGTTGCCCTATATTGTAGTCAATAAAAGAAGATAATTAATCACTTACACAAAGAGATACAAATATATACACACAGACACATATATAATTGTATACCCATACAAATCAAAAAATCAAATAATATAACAAGTTTCATAAATACCTTTTAGGTCTCTAAAATCAGAGAGAGAGATTAGCCGGTTCAACAAAACAAACACACTAAAATCCTCTCCTTTAACTAGGACCAACTATGCAACAATTAACCAAAACATTTGTGGGTTTAAGTTGAGATAGAAAATTAAATTAATTTTCAATAATACTGTTAGTTCTCACTGCTCATTTTTTTTAGTGACTATTTTCATTAGTTTCTAACCTACGAAATAGTTAGAAAATTCAATACAACAACAATCTATAATAGATATAAGGAGTTCTCAACACTTGAGAGAGAGAAACTTGTATACCTTGGAAGAGATCATCTCAGCAGTGGCAATTTTGGCTAGCTTACCCATGAAAGGAGGATCCGCGTCGCTTTTGTCCAAGGCACAGACACTGACTGCCATTACTTGAAATACACCAGCCATATTACCAAAACGCTGGAACATTTACAAAAGACCCATTACACTTCACATTTTTCGTGAGATAAAGAGTTAATAATTCAGATTCAAAAAAAGAAACAATTAAACAGAGTAGTACACGACGTCCTCCTCGAGAAACAGTTGAACAACAATCAAGAACCAGTAGTGGGTTCCTGCAATTGCCAAAGTAATAAATTAAAACTAAAACACGTTTACATATGTGTGTGCATAATTGTGTGAGTGCAAAATATATGTGCGCGCGCGCGAGAGAGATTTATACAGGTTAGCGATGTCCTTCAGAGAAGCCATGGAGGCTTCTCTGACCATTGAAGAATCATCTGCTAGTGAAGAAACAAGAATCTGAACTGCCTCTGTAACAGAGATAATAGAAGACAATTAATGATCTGAAGAAGAGCTATGACAGAATTTAAGATCAAGAAAGGATTTGTATACATATATATGTGTGTGTTCTGAAATTGGAGATACCTGAGGCAGGAATAGCGTTTCCGGAACTTGAAGAGGCCATTTATGACTGAAAATTAAGAAATCACCGAACAGCAGAGAAAAAAAAAAAAAAGGACGAAGGACAAGAAGAACATATAAAGACAGCGCGAAGATGCAACTCTGCAGGGTAATTCTATTATCTTTTATTTTAGGTGGTAAATTATACAAATACCCATTTATTTCCTATTATTGACCTAGTTTCACCCTCAAAAACTTCCGTCCTTCACTTCAGTCCAAACGTAAACAATAAATGATGAGGAAGTTACCGTTGAAAGTGTAAATATTTATATATATAATGAAAATTCCAAAAATAAAATTAGCCAAAAGGATGATAGTCACAAAAGTTAAAAAGAAAATAAGAAATTACAACACTGGAAATTGATTAAATAACTATGTAAAATTTGATCATGTGAATATTTTATGAAATTTGACTACAAATTTGAAACAGAAGCCCATCTCTTCCGCTCAAATAGTTGTATTTGAATTAAAATGACAATTTATATAAAATATGTTGATGCTTATCTTGTATGCGTGAGGCTCTTGATATGAATTATAATCATATTTGACATAAACATTTATCATTGGACCAATTAATAATTATCAAAATGCTTCAAAATTTGTTCGTCAATCTAACATTTTGAGTTAACGTTTCGAATTTCAATTGGATATCATATCCTAATTTCGATTGGATATCATATCCTACTTTTACTTTTATGCATGATGCTTTTTTTTAATGGGTGTTCTATTTTTGTAATGATTGTTTTTTGTTGTAATGTAAAATAATAATAATAATGATAATAATTATATAATGTAGCCAATTAATGACATGCAAGGGCAGAGCCCCGTGTATGTCCAGAGGGGGAGAAAGATTTCCCTACACCGGTGGCACTAAATGATCCATATTATCAACTAATTATATCATGTCATATAAAAAGAAATGCATTTATTCAATGAATTATATCACTACGAGTCTACTTGTTAACATTCAATTAATTGGTGATACCATGTCATCTTAGTGGCCCGCCCACTATGTTATATATTGTTATTTTTAATTTCTTCCCATATATATATATGAAAATTTGTAAACAATGCCCCTAAAATAAAAAAGTAAAATCTTCGTGCTTCAATCACCACCTCTGAAGAGAAAAATATATATATATCACCTCTAATTCTTGTTCTTTTCAAAGTTGTGTTATTATTTTTTATTCTTCTTCTTTTTACTACCTAAAATTATTCTTCTTCTTAAAATAATAATTATTATTATTGTTATTATTCTTTTTACTACCTAAAATTATTCTTCTTCTTAAAATAATAATTATTATTATTATTGTTATTATTATTATTCACTGTTTCTCCCCTCAATTGAAATCCCCACTAATAACACGAGCGCATGATATTAAACTCCAAATTCAATACTTTACTTCGTGACATGTAATTAAAAGACTGTTTACATAATCCAAATACTTGCACTCGAAGTTCATTTTCTAAAAAAAATTTGCTTTTTAGTTTTATTTATTTATTTATTTTTGTGGCCTTTGACATGTATTTGAACACTTCTTCCAGAAAACTGCATTTTTGATGCTCTAGTAGGGATCAAATTTGAACGGAAGTTAATAATGAAGAAATTTGGGGTAAAACAAAAATATAGAAAAAATGTGAAACTTGTGTAAATATTTCCACAGGAGACGGCATCAGAGCAAAATTCCGAACTTAATTTGGCCTTTGAGAGCTGGCACACTAATCAAAGACGCGACACCTTGCACGTGCGGTCACCTGTAGAACCAACTTTCTAAATGAGATGAAACCACCAAACTCGGCTTTGACCAATACTGCAAATTCGTTTTGAAGGGATTAAAAAAAAAAAAAAACAATTGTTTATTTAGTAAATAGTTAATGTGGGTGTGATTTGAATTTAAATGAAGATATTTGACTTGCATAAACAATGAAGCAGTTTTTAACTTTGTACGTGCAAAGGTACATCCTCCATTGTCAAAGAAAAAAACAGGAGGAAAAAAAAAATATATATATATATAGGTGTATAATAAACATAGAGGATTGGCTAACTTGTACATAACTGTTGTTCAATAATCATGGTTGTGACTAATAAAGCAAAAAGATGACCCATGATCTCATATAAATCATTGCAAAACAACGGTCATTGTCATTATAGAAACAAGCCTCAAAGAAGTCTGCAAAATTTGAAAAAATCATCATGATCAAAGCGTGATCAACCCCAATAGATGCAATTTAACCTGCTTTGCCCGACTAAAAATTTCAGACCCATCTTAACCAAATTATAGGGATTCCACTTGGTCAAAACGCCAAATCCGTGAGGAGGAGGAGGACTCTGGCATGCCCATGGGATTACGGCCCAAATGTATCATTGGGTTGGGCTTACCCTAAACCTGATTGGCTCAAAATAAACATCTTTGTAATTCAAAAATTCGATGTACATTCAGAACTTGGAATTGTCAGAAAAGTGTGAGTGTGTATATATATATATATAAAGATTAGCCATCCGGTAGAGTCAAAATCCTAATTCCATACATAAACATCAATATTTTCAAATTTATAACAGTATAGGTACTTCATTATTCAAATTACAGTTTATTCTTCCAGACATAATGAGAAAATGGCATATTTAATCTCCTAGGACAGAGCAGTTAGCTTTCACCATTAGTAAGGAAATGAAAAGAAAAAAAAAAAATGAAATTTCTACACCATTTCAGAGGAACTTTTTACAGGGAAGGCGAGTTAAAAGGAGACCCTACTGGAGCTGCGAGGCCAAGAAACCGCATTATCCTGAACCTTCGAACTTTCCTTGCTGATTTTAATGGAAAAATCACATCCTGAACAGGGAGAAGTATATCTTTAAATATGTTGAAAGTTTCATTTAAAATATATACCAGATAAATGGTGCATGCAACTTACATCAAAGTGAACTTTGGGTTTTCGTTCCCTCTTGCCCCTCCCTCGGCAATCACTCGCTGTTCTGCTTGAACTTGATGAGTTGCACTTATCTGTATTAAACCGACAAGAAGTTTAGAAAGGCAAGAAAATACACTAAATCTACCTTCTACTTCACCTAAATTAATAATTTCTGTCAAGTGTTGCTCTCTTCTATAATCGGGGAAGATGCAGGTGACATGAACCAAGTTATTACATTGGAAGGGCTTTTTTATTGTTTAAAAAATATATAAATAAACTACTTTAGGTTCAGGCTCAGGAGAGGGTTATGATTATTGAAAATCAAGACACCTAAAGGGTTGACACTTTAAGGATGCATGTTGAGCATCCCAAAATTTTCTCTCTCAGCCACAAGTATATCTGTGCTTTGAAAGGCACATGGAGATTTGGGTGAAGACAATTCCTATAACAAGACATAAACTCCTATGTATATATGTGCTACCAATTATAGCCCATGGTCTCTCTCTCTCTCTCTCACACACACACACACTTTGACATACCAGGGGAGTCGTCTTGTTGATTTGAGTAATTAGGTCCATCAGGGGACTCGGTGAACTGTCTGGATAATCTTAAATGCTCCTTCTGATGCAAAGCCTGCAGTAAGATTAAAATACAGTAATACATAAACAAACCGAGTCATCTAAACTGAAAACTACAAGAATATTAGCTAAAAATTATACATACCTCTCGCAAAGCATCTTGAAACCCTTCCATAGGGTTACAACTCCTTTCTTTAAAGCACTGAAAAATATTCAAAAAATTAAAATCGATGTGCTGAGTATTAAGTGTAGTAACAAACAATAATCCTAGCATTAAAAAAATATGCTACTAGGCCACAAGAGGATGATAGTGTGATATATTAAATCACTAAAATTAATTTTACTCCTCTAAATTCTTTGTAATTGTAAAAGAATGATAAATTGTCACAACTACAAGCCTGTCTTAGAGCACAGTGCACTCATGGCATATCATGGTACAGAAAACCAGTACATCATTTCCCCCAAAACATGTCCAACAGGAACAATTATTAATCCACTCCTTGCCTTCTTTTTTATTTTAACATCAGATGAAACATCATCAATACCGTTCTATACTACAATGTGATCACAGCAGCACATACGATGTATGACCCACAGAATAGACATCAATTTTTGTTAGGGAACTTATTGTTGAGAAGCCAAACTCCTCTCTAGCTGTCTTAAGGATAGATAATTATACAACACATTCAAAATTAGTACTTTCGAAGTAGGTATATAAGTTGTCCTTCAGAGAAGTAGGAAACCTATACTCACATCCTCAAACCGTGACAGATCTCTAGCTGGATCAACCCAAGCACTGAAAAGAGAATCATTAAAATTTCAGTTCATACCACTTAAAAATAAAGCATATCCCCACATATTTCACAGCTCTAAAGATACAAAACACCCATATTAAGAGCCAAAAGAAGTCTTACCTTTCACGGTTTCCATAGAATTGTATTAAAATACGGCCATCAATCCCTTGGTTACTTGAATCAACAAAACTTGATCTTTCTCCTAGCACCTGAAGAGAATCGTTGAAATATCTCAGAAGACTAATCATTGTTAAAATAAAACATTACAATAAACTTCCATATGTAATGATTAAATTCTGTTCTTTATATTTACTGTGTGAAACTAATATTTTGAAAACATAGATCAACCACCAAAAAATGGAGTTAAGCCTGAATCAAATAGATTGAGAAGTAAGATAATCTAACTTCAAAAAGTCCTACTTGAGAGTGCCCACGGTGAGGTTATATTCAAAAAGTTAAAATCTTCACAAAAATAATAAGTCAATTGTATGAAACATTTTCCTTTTTCCATTTCAAATATGTCAACATTAGAAGGTACCAAGGACCATTTGACCATGTAGAAATTAAAGGATAAAGGAGGAAGAGATTGGCCAATATATCTTTGGCAACTGTAGATTATCACGTGCATGAGGATGCACACATGCATAAAACTTCCTACGTGCTACAATTGACACCTCGGTTAAGATATCAGGCTCCTGGGAAGTGAAATGGCTTAGCATCTCTTGCAGAATATAACCAGAGAAACACTGGAAAAGGTTTCTGTATGCAAAATACAAAGAAAAAAAAAATTGTAAAATGCTTTAGTCTTCCAAATAACATTTTAATATTTGGTCAATTCTGCCCATTTCACATTCCTAATATTAAAATATTACACTGGTTGCTTTTATATATATATATATAACACTGGTTGATCACAATTACAATGCACATTGTCCATACACTTGTTGCCCAAAAAACTTATCAATTTCACCACCATGCCCCTACCTCCAATCGTATGTCCTCATCTTCCTATTTGAGAGGCCGACGGTTCAAATCCCTTCTGGGGCATAATTGGTGTATGCACTCTTACTTACCCAAAAAAAAACATTTTCTATTTATATCCAATCATTTTTTGATTAATTTTTTCTTAAGCAAATCTTATCATTCATAGTTAAAATTTGTCACAAAATGCAATTGTAAAAGGCAGTTTCGGACTACAGCTTACAGCCATTCAAGGCTGAGGAGCACTAAACATATCAACGGCAATGATAGACAACAAGGTTATATACAAATTGGAGTCTCATAATTCTTTTTCTTTCTTTCTTTCTTTCTTTCTTTCTTTTTTTCTTTTTCTTTTTTTTTTTTGGTATGGAAGTTTCGTAATTCAGAAATAAGGCCATTGTTAGAATAAATTGGCAAATAATCATTTGAATCCTCACTGGAATTGCAAAAGGAATATGTTTGAAACTTACTTCAGCAGGCCACCATAGTTGGTCAGCCATTTTAGCCCATACTACACTTCCTGGAGTTATGCAGACATCGCTGGTCTCTCTATTTTGTGAGTTATAAGGAGTGAACTCTAATGTCTTGACTACATCAATTCTTTGTTTATCAACATTCCTACAGCAAACAGGAAAAACGCTGTTCATTAGAAATATTACCATTTCCAACTAACCATAAAAACATACAAATGCATTATATAGGCAGACGAAATTAAAGGAAAGCACTGTGGAGTTTATTAACGACATCTAGTGATGAGGCTCACAAAGTTGGTTTGTCACACCTTAAATACAGGCCAGGCCAACTTTCTCAAAATTGGACAGGAAGACTTTATGAAGATTGGAAAGAAAAGGCTATAAACACGTATATGGCTCAACAGAGTCGGTCATTAAAAGATTCTACCGCTAATCACATACCTCTCTTCGGAAAAATTAGAACTTGTAGTCAACCAGTCGACAGAAGTGCTTTTGCGGATTGTAATGGTTAATTAATGCAACATGAAGCAGAAACCAGAAAATTTGTTTCATCTAATCTATATAATAATAGGGGCATACTAACCTAATGCACACGTGCATACAGCCACATATGAAAAAACTAAGGGGAAGGAAAAATTCAAACTTTGTCTTGCCTATGACGGTACACTTCTTCATGCACTGGCAAGCTCTCAAGTGTAAGGGTGCAGTTCAGGCAGGTTGGGCGGATGATGGGGTAATCGAGAGTCTCCATACTTAGATATTGAAACCTTTAATCCAAGATTCCAAGTCCAACCTGACCTGAGCATTCTACCAACCTCTCCAAACTGATCCCAACCCTCGGTCAATTTTTGAACTTGGGTTGAGTTTGGATTGTGAATGGGTTGGATCCCAATTGAGGTCGGTTTACACTCAAGTTAGGTTCAAATTGATTGTGTAACCTCTATAAAAAATAATAAAAAAGACCATCACAAAAAAACATCGAAAAAAAGCGACTAATTAAAATTTTCATATGACTAAACGAATGGGGAAAAAAAAGTCTTTACCCAACCTAATTGTCGTATAGTAATATATATATATATATATATATATATATATATATATATATATATATATATGAGTTTGAAATTGTATTAATATAGGGTTGCCCAACTCAGATTGGATTTGGGTTGAGCGACGTTGAGCCCAACCCAAATTAACTTGGGGTTGGATTTTTCAGCCCAAGCTTGGCTCGTGTCATAAACTATTGTCCGATCCCATAAAATATCTGGTTTGGGCTGAGACTGACCCACCCGAGTTGAACCCCTGCGTGCGAATCATTTGATAAGTGAACAAGTATAATCAAGCTTGCAATTAAGTTGGGAGCAACTATTAGTTATCACCATCAGTCCCACCCACGCATCCACTAATTTATAAGACATCTGTTGTAGCTAAACTTTGACTATGAAAAACTCGATGAGGCATACCTGTCACTCCACTGTTCAAAAGCTGCATTACTGGCAGCTGATTCAACTTCTAGAACTGGTGGAACTTCAACAATGTTCGAGAAAGATCCTTGTCTTTTATCCTGGGACTGGCTGCATTGGACCAGTGGGCACTCAAGCATTTCCTTTCTCTTGCCCCTTGTTTCATCCAAACTAGCAGTAGTGACACTTGATAGTATATTATTACCACTGGATGACTCCAGCAATAGACCTGTTGTACAAATTGTCACAAGAACAAATCAAAAATAAAATCAAGTTTTCTAACAAATTCTACTCAAAATGTTATAAGCTACCTCAATGTCATAACATTACACAGGGTTAATGCAACACTAGAATTTCTAAAGGACCGGTTAAGAAAACTAACCATTCTTGAAGACATATGGATTGATGGCAAGCAATGATGTTTAGATAATTGATGAAACAGAGATTGATATATTTAATTACCCAAACTTAAGAAAAGCTAAAGGAACCTAAATCCACCTAATTATTTTGGACAAATGAAAAGGGAAAAAAAAAAAGGCAACAATCTAAAGGTCTCATTTTAGGAACAGATCGTCTCTAACAAACTTATTTCTCTCCAAGCATCAACAAGGCTAAATCCAATGATTAGAAACATGTCACTCCATATCACTTGTTAAGCTACCCACTATGTTATGGTTTCATGCATAACTTTATCGCACATGGTGTGCTTCTAAATTTAGATGTGGACTTGTAGATGCTGTGGGGAAAAAATAAAAATAAAATCCTTGGAGAGGATCTATTTCTCTTATATTATCAAAAACTCTTTTCACAAAATCTATCAATTTCCTTCCTCTCAAGAAAGCAACTTCGCAATAAATATGAAAGGAGGGATTTGTGGTACAACCAGTGAAGCTTAGCAACATAAAGCAACTCACATTGCCTTCCAAAATTTTCTTCCGGTTAAGGTGAATAGTTTAAAAATTGAATTCTCTCTCGAAGGCAACATCATTCTCTTACAAATCTTTTAGTATCATTAAAACAACAATACTCCATCCAATTTTGATGGATCATATAGAGATATTCCATCAGCAATTCTTCTTTTTAAATTAGCAGAACTTAATTTGTCAGACATGTACATCTTCAAACAGATTTCAATGCTAGTTCACCATATTTGGGGGCCGGAATGAGGGTGATTTCCTATGATATTAATATAGTACTCAACTGCTATTTTAGACTTAATTAAGGTGATGGTAATTCTTAATGGAAACAGATAGCTTATAATCATAACAATCACAAAAGGGTAGCAAAATCTGCAGCCATGAAAGTGATATTGTGATAAAGATCAACACAATTTTACAACCCAGTAACAATTCCCCCACAAAGAAAACATAATCAATTATCATAAACTGTAATAACCACAAAGCATTAAGTAGATTTGAGGGATTGAAGCAATAATGTGATTAAGAAACAACATTAATGCACAATTTACAGAATTTGAGATTAATTTGATTATTCATATAAACATATAAAAGTGCACATACATATAATATCAAAATTATGACAGCAAATAGAGACAATTGAGAACTGAAATAGGGACCTTGAGAGAGAGGAGCTTTAGAGATAGAAGAAGAAGAGAAGCAGAAGAAGAGAGAGAAGTCCGTGCGACGTCTGGGGCCTCCAGGGCTTCTGCGTTGCTGAGAATACTTGGGTATGTGATCAATTTCGTGTAACTTCTCTCCCTTCTTCCTTTTGGGTGTCTTCTTCTTCGCCATTGCTGTGATATGAACGAGAAGGTGTGAATTTAGAGAGAGAAATAGAGTAATTTAGAGAGAGAAAGTGCAGGCTCCCCTAAATAATGATAACAAGAAAAGGAAATTGGTGTTTTCGATCTGAAGAGAGACATTTACAAAATCTGATTGGAATAGGCCACGTACAATCTCCTTCTCTGTGTAATGGATACGAACTAGTAGAGCTAAAATTGTTTGGTTCATTCTTCGTAGGTCACACATATAAATTATACCCAAAAACAAAACATTGAGACACATAATTGGACATGTTCCGCTAATAAATAGGAAATTTGGAAAAAAAATTAATAACATTCACTAATCAGATTTTATAAGAAATTTAAGCTATAACTTAATTCGATTTTATAAGAAATTTAGTTATTCAAGAATATACTCATATATAAAGGAAATGTAGTTTATAAATAAATAGAAGAATGTGCATGGAAATAGAAAGATTATAAGAGTAAACTACTCTGATAAATACTAACACAATAACACATTTATGCTATTAAAATTAGGGTTGCAACTCAAGTGAGCTGAGCGGGTTTGAGGTATAACTTAAACCCAATCCACTATATAAAATGGTAAACTCAAGTTCAACCCTAACCATATCCTCAACCCTAACTATTAGACTCGAGTCTAACTAATCCTTCTACTTTTAAATTCGGGCTTAGATTTTGTGTTAAAACTTCGGGTTAATTCGGATTACTCATATGGCTAATTTTTACATTGAAAATTTAATATGATCTTGAATTAGTTTTAGATTAAATTACTCTTAAACAATAAAATGTTCAAAGATTTTTTTTTTGTAGATTTTTAATAAATTACAAATAAATTCTTAGAAAATTTAACAAAAGAAATCGAAAAGAAAAAAAAGGTAATCATGGTTTAAATATTATATATAATTTATTTTAAAGTAAAAATATATATATAAATAATATTATAATTCGGGTTCAGGTTGGATCGGGTTGTTAACACTTCAACTCAAGCCTAACCCTAATTTAATTCGGGTTGAAAGTTTTCAACCCAAGCCCAACCCTAATTATAAAAATGATTGGCCAAACTTGCAAAAAATCAATGCAGGTTTGGCTTGGGTTTTCCGACCCAAGTTGCATCCCTATTTACAATTGTTCGAGTCTGGCGCTTGACGTAACACCGGATCAAATATTGAGCTAACTCTGATACCAACTGTAATAGGTGGATGCTTACCCATTTACCCAAAAACTCAAACTGTTGGGTAGTACTGTATTCCCACCTATTTATACTTAATCACTTTTCTATCCAGATCCGATTTAGGACAAATGATCCTTGTTACATTAATACATAATAAGTGAATAAAATAATAAAATTGAAATTAAAAAAAAATCTGATTCATACTCTCAAACACAGAAGTTTAAGTTATATGGTGTAACGGAGTAACAATTAAATAGCAAAAAAAGAAGAAGAAAGTGAGTAATAATTAAATAGCAAAAAAATATTTACTTATATTTTTAACAATATTGGTTTCTTGTATCATCACTAAAATAATCAAGATTTTTAACAATATCAGCTATAGAGAGAATGTTTTGCAGTTCCTCGTTTGATGTTCAAGTAGATGTGGTATGTTATTATTGGAATTTGGAACTACATGTAAGATTCTTGGACATTTAAGTGCATGAAATGTATCAATAACAAAGCATAGGACTATGAGAGTGCAACCGGGGGAATAACCCTAATTAGCAGGGGGGAATAACCCTAATTAGCAGGTAGGGAAACCTAAATCCTCTTCAATGATTATAAAACATTATATCACTTACTTATCAAAATGACGTTTTATTCTTTTAGTCATCGCTTAACGGTGCAAATTGATAAGATTGTCTATTATATTGTGAATGTCAAGGTAGGAAAAGGATTTCACCGAAAAGGGTTTTAATTTGTACTTACTGGAAAAAAGGGGTTTTAATTTGTAAAAGCACCCCTTAATACAATGTAAGTACTATACATGCGTCATACATACATATATGTATGTATGTATATAATAACTATATATAATTACAAAACAAACTCATTGGAAATGAAATTTTAAGGTTCCTTTGGTTCAATTTTTTGAAAATTGTTTGGTTGACATTTTTGAAAATTATTTTTCTAAAAACTCAGTTAAAAAATGCATGTTTTTATTATATAATTCTCTAAAAATAAGTTTCTGTATTTCAAGTTATTTAAAACTGTTTTCTAAGTGATAAATCAAATATATCATTATAATTATACTGTCTTTATTTTTTAAATGAAGGAAGGTAACACGCACATGACCTAAATATCCCTCACAAAACTAGGAGAGCATCCTCTGTTCAGGTGACAAATCCCATGTGTTTGGAGCCGAATGTTTTCTTAATACAATTCCTTAGGCTTACACAAGTATATACAATTGTTATTTCTCTAGCCATCCTAAGCCCCAGATTTTCTCATCAAGTTTCATCATATTCTCTTATCTTGAGTTCGCAACATCATTAAAAAAAATCTAGATCTTCGCATATATGAGTCTTTGTTTTGGATTACCCAAGTTGGATGGAAATCCAAAAGGGTTATGTTAATAATAAAGACGGGCTTCACATCTTAAAGGTGGAAAGTTCAAATTTTTTTTAGGGCCACTTTTCAAGAAAGTTGCTTATATGAAATGCTATATATATTTGGTGATGAATTATTGAATGTTTTAAAAGGTCAGATAGTCAATTCTAACAATAAATAAATAATTGAAGGGAGAAGGAATTTAAAAAATTGAAGGGAGAAGGTAAATTTTGTAAGATTTGAGGGGTACAATTTTCAATCTCTTCCATATTTTAAAATCCATCATTCACGGGATATATCAGACATGCCACCTATTTATAGATTTTTTTTTTCGGAATTTCTCGTGGCCCATGGCCCCTTTCTCCCATGCAGTTTCCAACTATCTCACATTAAAAGTTGAACATCTGTCATCTACATCCCGATAGATGATTAAAAAAACTGATAGATGATTAATATTTTTGTGATGCGTTATAAAAAATATTAAGGTAAATTGCATTCACACCTTTATGGATTTGACTTAAAAATTGGTAATTACAATTTAGGTATTTTTTTAATACCCCAAAATTAAGATAAAAGTACCTTATTGTCCTTTAACTTATGATTTAACTTATTTAAATTATGAATTTATTATTTTAACCTTCTCAATGCATTTTAATGGACACTACCCATAATAATTGATCAATAACTAATGTTTTTATTTTTATTTTTGAAAGGTAATAACTAAAGACTTTGGACCACATAATTGTAGATATTTTTTAATTTTATTTTTATCTTGGCAAGAAACTCATACTCATAAACTTTATAACAAACTTATAATATTATTATAAGGGTCGCGTGCGTTTTATATCCATGTAGTAATATTGAGATAGTGTGTATAACCCCCCATTGTTTGTTTACCTTCCCTATATTTTTAAAAATGGTGCGAATTAGTGCATTTTGGGCGTTGATCGCTATTGACCGGTACCGGAGCTACAAAAAGACTAAAATAACCCTCTATTTATGATTTAAAAAAACTAATAATATAACATAAAATGTGAAAAGACTAAAATATCCCTCTACATCTTTATTCTCATCCTCGACACTGATCTTGCCCCCTCCCTCTCTCCAACTGCAAACTACAAAACCATACAAGAATCAAAAGTTCAAAAGTCAAAACCCATATGGCAAGAGTCAAAAGTTCAAAACCAACTAGGAAAAAGAAGTTCAAAACCTATTACCTATCAAAACCCATATCGACATATCATTTCAGATTGTTCAGAAAACTAAAACCCATATCTTTCAAAACCCATATCTTTCAGTTTCCATTTCAGATTGTTCCAAAAATCAAAACCCATATATTTCAGTTTCCATTTTAGATTGTTCAAAAAATCAAAACCCATATCTTTCAATTTTCATCGCCCGCTGTTCCAGTTCGGGTTCGCCGTTCGGGATCAGAATAGGGATCGCGACGCTCCTTGCCTATTTTTGACCTGAGAGCTTTGTTTCTAACGTGGTTCGATCAGAGCATATGTTTGGTTAATGGAACCCCCTCGACACAAGCAGCTACGGGGGCAAATCCTCTGCGCACACCCTGCTCCTTGTCCTTTGACAGCCGTCATTTTATCTCAACTCTCAAGCTTCCCCCTCGGGAACTGCTTGTATGTATGGGTTTTGTTTTAATTTTTTTTTCTAAATCAACTAATCAAGGTGGTGGCTTAATTTGTTACCCTCTCTCTCTCTCTATCTCTCTGTAACTGCAAACTACAAAATTTACAACAATCAGAAGTTCAAAACCCATATATACAAATATATATATATATATATGGTGAGGGGGTAGTAAAGGAATATTAAAATGGCAATTTCGAAATAAAGGGTTTAAAATGATTATGTGCATGGCACATGACCTGGCATCCAATTCTCATCGGAATAATCACTGGTGTGGCTTAATTGCACATTTTTATACCTGGTAGGGATTTATATAAATAAATCTAACTAAAAAGGTGTAAGTTGCACAAATTTAAAACCAGAAATATGTTTTTCAGACTTTCCCCTTATTATAATTAGTATATACTGTATTACTACATATTCATGAAAATATTCATTGCCTATTGTTATATGGTTTCTGGATCTGTTGCAGATTTGATTTATGTGGTTAATATATGTGAATTGAACGTTATGCCAAATGATGATGTTATTATCTTCTTTATCACTTTTCAATTTTAATATTTTTATTTATAAATAAAATTTAAAATTTAATAATTATATCAATTAATAAATTTTGCACCTAATCAATGCAATTGTTTATTCTTCTTTAAAGAGTGATATAACTTGTTCATTTTGCAAACATGGTGCTTTTTGTTGACAAATTATAATTATAATTAATTTGATTTAGTGTAAATTGTAAGATGTAACTTGTTCATAATTAAAATGGTTTGAGAAGGTTAAAATGATAAATTCATAATTTAAATAAGTTAATTCATAAGTTAAAGGGTAATAAGATACTTTTATCTTGATTTGGAGTGTATCAAATTTGAGGTTGTTATTATTAAAAAAGTGCATAAGTTGTGGTTACCTATCTTTAACTCAAACTTTAATGCGTGTAAGTGCAATTTATCCAAAATATTAATGATGATCGAGGATATTTTCCATTCACATCAGAAATGCACCACAGACTCCGAATCAAAGAATTAGGACCTCAATAATCAATATCAACCACAAGGTAAGTTGAAACTTGAAAGCAATATGAAAATACTACCCCTAAGAATATGAACTAAACATCTACTATATATACTCCGCTCCTGAGAATTCTATATGAACTAAATAATTAATTTTTGCATAATGATTATTAAATTTAATATCACACTAAATCAAACAACAATAATTCGTAAATGTCACTACAATTATAATTTTAATTTAAGAGTCAAATAAGTACTGCAACATAATTAGATAAATATTATTATCTAAGATTTTTATTTTTCTATAATGCATTTTAAATTTTTTATAATTTATTTATTCCAATAAATATATCCTTTATTTTTTAAAGACTAAATATATTCTTACATTAAATGTTTTATTTATTCATACAAGTTTGTTTGTTTTTTTTTTTTTTTTTGTCGGTAATTAAATTCATGCAAGAAGATAAAAAAAAAAAAAAAAAGTGACGACAACCCCAAATCGACTCCATAATTCAGAGTCACAATTAGTGACAATGAATTTGTTTCATTTTCATTTTCTAAAAAAGAAGAAGGAGAACATGATGTATGTTATCGATCATATATATATATATATATATAAACAATAATACAATTTATTCTGGAGGCTCTCTCTCTATCTCTATAACACATATCGATCATGGGCAGAATGTAATGTCGTAGCCACCTCCAGCACCGCAAATAAACGTGCTACTGGTGTCATCATAAGCATAACTATAAGCCTGTGGACAGCTGCGCTTGAATAATTTAGCGTACTTGGAAGGCTTGCAAGTCTGTGGCGTGGCAAAGTTGCCCGAACAACAAAACTCTGGTGTGTTAAAGGCCAAACACGCACTCTTGCAGCCAATTGTACCACGTCCATCTGCATTCTTGATGGACAGTCCGCGCGGGCACTTGGCATTCACGTCCACCGGGCAGGCCGTTGCGGGGCAGTTTTTCCCGGGTTGCGGTGTTATTGCCACGGGCAAATTGAAGCCGTCCACAAGACTAACGTCGTAGAAATCCTGTCCACCGTGGCCGTTTAAGGTGAATTCTGCTAGGGTTGCGGGCGGGATTGCACCGGCACCGTTGCATCCTACTTGACCCGACGCACAATCCGCAACGCGGCAAGAGAACTTCCCCGCGGCGTCCTTGGAGCACCATGCTCGGGCCCAAAACCGCCCCGACCACCCGGCTGGAACGTCGATGGATTGTGATGCACCCTTTGCTAGCTCGAATCCAGTTGTGGATAATTGAGGTTTGCCACCGCCGGTTAATGTTGCTGGCCAGATTGTGTAAGGGCACTTGTTTTTTATTGTGAATGTAACGGAGTGAGCTCCTACATGCAATGCAATGTGAAAAATTATATATAAAGACAATATCAGCCTCAACACCAATAACACATGTATATTCTTTGGATTTAAATTATTTAAAGAAAAAAAAAAATGTATGCTAGTAATCGTAGTGAGTTAAACTGTTCCTTGTGATCATTTCGACACTAAACAGTGACAATATCCATACCTGATACAAAGAGGGCGAGAAAAAAGAGTTTTAGAGCTTCCATTAATACTTTTTTTTTACTTTAATTTCTTTGCCCTATTCTCTCTCCACCAATCCTCGAAGTCTAGACCTAGAGGTTGGCTGGCCACGCAAGTTAATAACTCCTAGGCCAAAGAGGTCATAAGAATAAGGGATTGGTGATATGTTTTGTCTATGATAATATTTGTATATATATACAGAAACCATCACCACCCAAAATAGATGTGAAGGCTTTTTCTCCTTAAGTAGTGGGGGTGGTGGTAAAGGATTTGACCAAGTATGGGATGAAATCAGTGAACTTTATCATGGCTTTGAATTATGGATTTGCTATATATAAGTACATTTTGTGGTGAGGTGGCAAAAGCGTTTTTTTGGCAGGGAATATTTTATCTGGTCTTCAAAGTTCCATTATAATGGTAAATTAAATAGTTTTAGTTTTAGATTTCTTTTTTTAGTAGGTATAGCTATAAAAATTGTAATGGATAAGAAATGGCCCTTATTTAGGGGAAAAATTCCCATGTGTTGGGAGCTGGATGTTTCTTCGTTTGCTTAACACAATCCCCTAGGCTTACATGACACATACAATTGTCATTTCTCTGGCCATCTTAAGCCCAACTATTTTCGCATCGAGTTTCCTTTTATTGTCTTCTCTTGAGTTCTCACCCTTCTTAGAAGGTTATCCATGGAAGGAATATATGGATCCTATATATTTAGATCTTGAAGGCCATATTTTCACTCATTTGCATTCCCATCTTAAAAAAAATTGATACTAATAACTTTATAAATAAATGATTATTATTTTTTAAATAACACAACTAGCTTTTAGGAACAATATATTTTTTGTCTCTCACCCTTTCTAACCTTTAATGTTTTCGGTTTCATTTGATTAGAACCCCCTCAAATGAATAATAATAATAATAATAATAATAAAGGACCCAAAAAATAAAATTTAAGTCTGTTGAATAAAAAGACAGAACCCAAAAAAATTAAAAAGGATTCATTTTCTTTTTATTATTATCTATGTTAAATAAATTATATTGTTTGATAAAATCAAAACAAAGAAGCCTACCCCGCAACCAAAAAAAAAAAAAACACACACACACACACAAAAACAATTAAAAAGAAAAAGAAAAAGAACAATACTTAAGTCGATTAGGATGTACTTCCTGGTGTCAGGTGTGGTGGTATTGCCCGAATAGTAAAGGGTCAGATCTTAAATGTTCCCCACCCGATAATCCTAGGTTCAAATCTTTCCCCCTAACTCCACTAATTGTTAACTCTCTTTTTAATTATTAAATTAGAGATGGTTTGGCTATATATTTCATTATCAAATCAAAATTGGTAAGGAACATGATCGCCGTTATTATTCTTCGATTTTGTTATTTGCAGTCCACCTTTCTACTTTGAACTCTACTTTTATTTTATCTTTAATGTGAATAATAAAAAATTTCCTAAGCTAATTAATGCATTATCCCTTATTATATTATACCATAACTACCCTTTTGTAAGGTGTGGGTGCTTCGTGATCCGACCTAAAAGCTTAAGCTATTAGGTGGGGTTAACACCCAATTTATGGTACCCATTTCACTTCATATCTGAACCCAATATGGGATAAGTCTCCCCTTGTAACATTTTCCTCCACCTAAACTCGCAATGCTCTCATTGCGGTCAGGACCACCCTGCCTACTCGGGTGGCTCACCCGGACGCCTTCCGGCCGGGCACTTAGCATGACATTGGATTAAGGATTGAGTCTAACTCTGATACCAACTGTAACGGGTAGGTGCTTCGCGATCAGACCCAAAATCTTAAACTATTAGGTGGGGTTAACACTCAGACCATTTATACCCATTTTACTTCCCATCTGAATTCGATGTGGGACAAGTCTCCCCTTGTAACACCTTTGCACTATAAGCTTTATTATTTTATTTTTTTACCTTCTTTACTTACTTTGAAAATATAATTTAACGTGGCAATCTGGCATATTAAACGCACTAACTAATTTTAGATAAAATTACACTTTATCGTCATCTCTTTTTATAGGTAAAAACTTTATCGTCATCTTCTTCATCCTTTTTTTTCTATATTAGTTATTCATCTTTTGCTGAAAAATATTCTTTATATAAAATACTTTTCTTGAAGAACTTTTTGCAGTGAATTTTTTTATTTTTCTATTGTCTTCAATTAATATTATATATTGTTAATATTTAAAAAAAATAAAAAATTAATACCCCAAGGAAAAAAAAAAGGAGAAAATATTTGGAAGGTGAATTATATGAATGTAGGTTTCGACATAAACCCATCTCTCTCTCTCTCTCTCTCTCTTTTATTTTTTTATTTTACGTTTTAGGGTTTTTCTCATCAACAAGAAAAACTTCAAGATTTAAATACATTCCAAATTAATTCTTAAAAATCACATGAAGGAAAATAATTTAAATTAAACTCAAAATATACAATACAAAAAGAAAAATAAAAGAAAAAATTACCTTCACCATTAGCATGATGGCATTGAATGGCTCATGGAGTTTTGATAATTCTTACATGCTTTCTGTGTTAATTTTTCATTGTTATACACAAAGATCAATATTAAACCCTAACTGAAAGAGTGCAGAGAGGCTGTAAATGACCCAAATGTTATATTGGGAAGAGAGTGAGAGAAAGATATATATTTTTATAACTGAAAGAGTAATTGTGGTATTTGAGAAAAATAATTAATTATTTATAAAATTAGGGATAGAAATGTCCTTTCCTTTAAGAGTGTAGTGTAATAGTAGAAAAGTGAAATGCAAATATTGACTCTCTTAAATTTTTTGATTTTATAATTAAAGATAACGTGTCAATTTGTTATTGATCCATATCAGCAGTGAAGATTAAAGTATTATAAAAAATAAAAATAAAAAAAACTTTGTTGAATAAATTACCTTTTTCTTTGTAAGATTTGAGGGGGTACAATTTTAAATCTTTTCCATATTTTGATCTCCACCATTCATAGAATGTATGCTATTTATAGGATTTTTTATTAGATTTTTCGTGGGGCATGGCCCCTTACTCTCCTTGTAAGTCAAGGCATGTGAGTATTTAACGTAGTATCATATATTGAAAATAGGGCTGCAAATGAGCCGAGCCGAGCCGAGCTTTATGCTGTTCGGGCTCGGCTCGTTTGTTTATGGGATCAGCTCGGGCTCGGGCTCGGCTCGTGACGAGCTCAAAAATTTGAGCTCGGGCTCGGGCTCGTCTTGATTTTAAAAGCTCGGGCTCAGCTCGGGCTCGGCTCGTTTAACAAAATATATATATATATATATATATATATATATATATATATATATATATAAAATTCAAAATTAATTAGTATTCTACATGCCACAATACCTTTTTCCATTGCTTTATCAATTATCACATAAGCAAAAAGAAAAAGGGCAAAAAAAAAAAAAAAATAGGTGCAGTAGTGCAAGCTTTTATGTTTCAAGAACAAATTAAGGGTTAATTTCGAAAAGAAAAAAGGACAAAATTGAGCATGAGTGCATTATGCATTTTCTATGAAAATACAACACATCAAAAAGTTATAAATTCCCATGATAATAATATCTATAGAACCACTGAAACATTATATATATTAAGTAGAAAAAGAAATCACAGAGGAAAATAAGTTGGAGATAAATTAATTTAGCTACCTGTGGCCATTGAGTATTAGTCTTCATAAATTTAGAGGAAGCAGAAGAAAAGGCTAAACAAATTTGTCTGCAACTGCCTAAAGAATGTTTCGAGGTTGTCCAGATCCATGGAATTAAAGTGAAAATAAAGTTTTACCAAAAAATTAATTAATGCAGTACCTAATTGATGGCGAGAGCAAATGATGGCCAACGATGATGATGAGGATGGAGGGACAGCGGCACAGACGACGGCGGGAAACGGACGACGTCCATGGCGAAGACCGAGGACCGCGGCCGACGATGACAGACGATGCATTCAGATCTGAGAGAGAGAGTTATGGCGATTGAGTTGATTAGAGAGAGACAGAGAGGTAGTTGTGTAGATGGAAGGGTTGTCGTCGCCGGTGGAGTTGATTCGTAACTCGTGAGTGAGTGATAGAGAGAGAGAGACTGACGATGTTGTGGAGAAGAGGTAGATCTGAATGGTGGGATGTAGTTTTAGGGTTTTTTGATATCTTACAAAATCAATGGATGAGATGGGTTCTAAATTAACGGGTGAGACGAAATCTTATTTGGGCTATGGATCTATGGTGGATTTTCTTTGGGCTAATGAGGTATAATGCTTGGGCCATATTAATGAAAAATATGAGCTGGTCCAAACTTAAAAATAATATGGATTAAACATTTTAAATGTACAATAAAAACAAATGGGCCTGATATATATAGAATGGGCCTGATATATGTAACGAGCCTGATATGAGTTTTGTTCACGAGCCCTAACAAGCCTATGTTCACGAGTCTATGCGAGCCGAGCCCAACGTTGCTCAGGCTCGGCTCGTTTAGTAAACGAGCCTAGAAATTGGGTTTAAACTCGGCTCGTTTGCTTAATGAACGAGCCCGAGCTGAGCCCTTAACCAGCCGAGCCCGAGCTGTTCATGAACAGCTCGGTTCATTTGTAGCCCTAATTGAAAATGAAACGTCTACCTCACATTTCAAAGTAGAAGTGGTTGGAGGGTTTAAGCACATTGTCCGTTTGGTTAGTGATGAGCACTGAAAAGTGCGTATTTAAACCTCTTAAACTTAGGTATTCTAGAATCTTTATCTATCTTATTTTACCGTTTTGTATTGATTTTGTGTTATTTCCATTTTCAAGTACTCACCCCAAAATAAGTTAACTCAGCCAAATAAGAGCATAATTGAAGCATTTCTGGGATGAATCAAAGAGAGGAGCAAAGTAGAGCAAAAGGAAGTAAAGGGTGGAATTTCAGTAACTTCGATCGATCTCAAGAAAAGTTCGATCGATCCAACTTTCATCGATCTCAGCACTTCTGTGATACCCCTGAATTTCCGGATGCGGGTTGGCCAGGCCCACGCCCGATAACCCGAGGATATCAAATCAATTAGCAATAATCGAACACAGAATACAAATAAAAAAAATAAGAATAAATAAATTGCTGAAAAGAAACTAGAATAATAATCCAAAAACCTCAGAATAAAATTTAATTAACAAA